ATTACCTCATATATTCAGCCACTTTGTTTGTTTTTTTCATATGTTTTTGCTTCATAGTTCAAAAAAAGGAACAGGTTTTGGAATTTAAAAATTTTCAATTTTTGACCTTGACCTTTGTTGACCTTGACCTTTCTAACATCAAACGTCATTGGCATTGGCTATCTATTTATACTTTTATATTTGCCGTCCTATGTCAACTTCCGGTTTTATAGTCGTTAGCAATTTGAAATTTTGATGGCGTATATCTCTTGATCTTGACCTTTTTAGACCTTCTCCTTTACAAGATCAAAGGTCATTGACCTTGGCTATCTGCTGATACTTTCATTTGTGAGGTCTGACGTCCACTTCCGGTATTACAATCTTCTAAAAAATGAAAATTTCTCAACTTTAGACCGTTCTTGCACTTGATCTAATTATCGTGGAAGGTTGATTTTTTCAGGTTCTTTTGCATTTTGCTACATTTGCAAAGTCCCACTCTGTGCCACGAGTGGCTCTAGTTTTTTTTTTTTTCCGAAATTTACACACCTTCCTGAGCTTAAACTGCAGTAGTTGCGGCAACCATTCAACTTCTCTAGACCTTCTGTAGTGGCAACGTGTTCCTTAAATATATATTGGAACATATTTGCAAAACTGGAATTGCCACAGTTCAACATGTGCAAAAAGTCGAAAATCGGCTCTAGAAGGCGTATTTTTGCATCGATTTTCTTCGGGTTTTCATTTTTATAATCTACCTGTAATTTCTGACCTGATAGCACTTGAAAAATTACGAAATTCGAAAATTCGTCGCTCACTTTTTTCGATCAAATTTTTCGATTTTTTTGCAACTTTTTTGCTTTTGCATCGATTGATCTGAAATTTTAAATGCAAAGAGACTTCACTAATGTTACTAATATGATACAGTCAAATTTTTTACGTCATTTCCGATTTTAAACAGGAAAGCGACTGAACTTCAAATCTACTTCCGGTTGAATAACTTCCGGTGTAATTTATGTAGGTCAACAAAATTTGGCTGATCTTTGGCAAATAAAATTTTATGGCCGATTTTAAAATAAAATCCAGACCGGAAGCGATACTTTGGCCGCCATATTGAAAAAACACACTTTTGTAAAACTCAAAATGGGGCCTCAGGGTAAAAGTTGATATGCTCAAATTTGATGTGAATATAGTTTGCAATCGATTGCGCAAAAAACATTGGGAGCCGAATTTTGAATTTCGCTTTTGCTTTTTTGCAACTTTCGGTTGAAATTTTTTAAAGCTTTAAACGATCACACCATGTGACCTTGACCTTTGATGACCTTGACCTACATAGGGTCAAAGGTCGTTGACCTTGGCTATCATTTGATACTTTGACCTTTGACCTCCGTCATGTACTTCCGGTTTTATAGCTATCCGTAAAAAGCCAAATTCGCAACTTTGGACTGCTCTAGCACGTGACCTAATTAACCTACAGGGTTAATTTTTTCGGTTTCCTAATGTGCTTCTCATGCACTTTACATAGATATATAACAATCGTTATTTTAAAGCAAAATTGAACTTCGTGATTTTTTCAAATTTGAGGTTTTTTTTACAATATTTGCGTCTTTTTGAGCTTGGTGTATGTATATCTTATGATCTATTTGATGTAAAACCTTGATATTTGGAATACAACTAGACACTTTGAATATGAATTCACCTATGACAAAAAACTTATGTGGGCGTGGCACATCCGGGTTGAATTACTAATTGTTTACATTTAGAGGCAGGGGCATAACTCGCATAGAATGCGTTTGTTCAAAAAGGGACTTTGCACACAATTACCTCATCCTTTTGGCCAGTTTGTGTTAACAGCTCAGTTGTTTCAGCTTTATAGTTCCAAAAAAGGAACGGGTTTTTTACATTTGGAGATTTTCATTTTTCGATTTTGACTTTTGTTGTCTTTTGTTGACCTATATTTTTTGACCTCTATTATGTAGGAACTTGAAATTTGAAACATAACGTAACATTTGGAATATTGATTAACCTATGCAAAAGAAATTGAGGTGGGCGTGGCACTTCCGGGTTAAATTACTCATTATTGACATTTTTGGCCAGGGGGATAACTCGCAAAGTATACATTTGTTCAAAATGGAACTTTGCATACAATTCCATCATATTGTGAGCCACTTTGTATTAGAATTTCAGTTGTTTCCGCTTCTTAGTTCAAAAAAAGGAACAGGTTTTGGAAATTCAAAATTTTCAATTTTTGACCTTGACCTTTGTTGACCTTGACCTTTGTAGGATCAAACGTCATTGGCATTGGCTATCTATTTATACTTTTATACTTGCTCTCCTATGTCAACTTCCGGTTTTATAGTCGTGTGTAATTTGAAATTTTAATGACGTTTATCTCTTGATCTTGACCTTTTTAGACATTCTCTTTTACAAGATCAAAGGTCATTGACCTTGGCTATCTGCTGATACTTTCATTTGTGAGGTCTGACGTCTACTACCGGTATTAGAATCTTCTAAAAAATGAAAATTTCTCAACTTCAGACTGTTCTTGCGCTTGATCTAATTGTCGTGGAAGGATGATTTTTTCGGGGTCTTTTGCAATTTGCTACATTTGCAAAGTCCCACTCTGTGCCACGAGTGGCTCTAGTTTCTTTTTGGACTGCATTTTTCTTGTATATTATTATATTGTATCCACACTGTACATTTAAAAAAGCCTTGTTTTCCTTTAGGGACAATTGTATTTTGCTAACAGCATACACATGTCTATTCAACAACTAGAAACAGCATCTGAAACAATGACCAACATATATGATCTCGCTATTACGGCTTATGCTTTATATGTAGCTGGAAGTACGAAGTCATCAAATATCTTACAGAAGCTGGAATCTTTACAAACCACTGAAGGTAAAAATACAATGTTTTAGCGACGAGTATTCCGAGTTGGATTTGAATGATCTTATGGTTCTGTTTTTGTTTTGTTTTGTTTTTTTGTCTGAACCTTATCGGTGTATCAAAGATTGTGTTGTCTTTTATATCCGATGACATTTGAAGAGAAATATTCATCTAAATTTTTTTCATCCACCCGCATCACCAACGGTTCATCGAACGAACTGATATCACTATTTACAACATCTGCTCATGTGTTGTTAATATTGACCATAAAGTATATCCAATTAATGGACCTATTCCTTTTTCATGAAATATTTATATCATTCACTTAGTCTTTGAAGATTAATATTATCAAGCTCTTAACCTGTTTAAATACTGTGTTTTCTCTTTGTATAACTATTAAAATCATCATTTTGTAGATGGTATGGTATATTGGGAAGTTGTTATTGAGGCTGACAGAGTTAGGTATTACTGGAATCCACCACACAAACAGAGTAGTCCGGTTAATATTGAGACTGCTGCTTATGTTTTACTTACTTACTCTAAAATGGGAGAAATAGCAAAAGGTATACCTATAATGAAGTGGTTACTTTCACAACAAAACAGCAATGGTGGTTACTCCTCTACGCAGGTAATTATCGAAAAGCACAGGCTTTTGTTGAACATATTATAATCTAAATTTAGTATGTATAGATAATAGCAAATTACATCGAACGACAATTTACAGTAACAAAGCAAGTGAAGTGAACGACACACTTTTGTTTCAGGATACAGTGGTTGCACTTCAAGCTTTGTCACAATTTGCTTGTCTATTACATGGTGGAAGTTACGATATAACTCTAAATGTATTTGCATGCAGACAAAGTAGAACATGGACTATATCCCAGACTTCCAGTGTATTTAAATGGGAGGTAAGTTCCTTCATTCAAATAATAATGTGTAAAGTACCGCCCTAAAGTCTATTCATTGATACACATGCGTGTCTTCTGGTAGAATTCCGGTATGGGACGTTCCATGCAATTTTACTATTTTTATTCAAATAAAATATCTCTATTATTAATTGTCACTTCAGACTCGTGAAACCACTGATAGTATTGATATCGAGGCTTCAGGTACCGGTAGTGGAATCGTCATGGTATGTTACCTTTATAAATAATGTTAATGATATTGTCAAATTCAGCATCCATATTATATATCATAATCTGAAAATGGGTTTTAAAATCTTACACCATTTATTATTATCTTGTATTTCATTTTTTTTTTGTTTTTAAAATGTTTTTTCGAAATTGTCTTTCAGATAACTGTCAAATATAACATTGAAGAACTGGTAGTCCAATCGACTTGGGGACTCAGTGTCGTAACAGAATCTGAAAGTTTGGAAGTTCTCGTGATCAAAGTTTGTTTTGAGTACGATATCTTTTTATTTTTTCATGACCAAATGTAGTTGTGTGTGGTATATCTGTTTACACATTACTGCCACAAAGGACTAATTAGAGAATATTTAGATATCTCTAACACCAAATTAAAAACATGAAATCTATGATCGCAAATCCATTGTAAAGTAGGCTCCAGCCTCAAGATTTTTTCTTTAATGTTGGGTTATCATTATTTAAAACTTTTTAAAAAAATAATCTGATTTACAAACCTGTTCCACCATAAAATTTTATACAACCAGTGAGAGCTGTTTCTTTTTTCAGCTGGAAGGTTCTCAACCAGTCAAGTGGGATGGCAATATTAGAAACCGTTTTAATCAGTGGTTTCCGAGTAGACGATTCTCAGCTTCAAAATGATAAACTAATAAAGAGGATGGAATCGGACCAAAGGAAATTCACTCTCTATTTCGATGAGGTAATTATCTTTATATTATTAAAATAACAAACGGTCTGCAACCCCCCAAAAATTCATCAAATTACTTGATCAAACTTTTACATGTTCAGCGAATCAAAACACCTTTGTCCTGGTTCGAAAACATACAATTGAGACTTTGCTGGTGTAATGCAAAGTTTTAGATCCTCTTCCCCCAATACTATAAAACATCAAAAAAGCCTAAAAATTGAAACTTGCTTGTTAGGAAATAGAATGTCATGACCAGGTTCAATGAGAATAGACGTTGATCGCCAAGTTCAGTTATGCCCAGACTGTCTTGTTTTATTTTGTCAAGATATCTGCTACAGCACATTCCACGAAGATACGAAGTGGAGAACAGTTTTGTGATCAAATTTGTTTTGTTGATTTATTGTATTTGTATATGTTATCGCGATGTCGACCACAAAACTTTTTAATTCAATACAATATTTATAATAATCATCATCAAATTGGTATTTCATTTGTTTGTAGGTTGGGAATACACCAGTGTGTCTAAAACTAAGACTAGTAAAAGGTGAAGTTGTTGGAAAAGTGAAACCAGGTTTCGTTACTATAACAGATTATTATAATCCGGAGAATAGTGTTACAGTCTCCTACAAGTCATCTATAGGCGAAAATGCTCCGGTTTGTGCTCTGTGTCCACAAGGAGTCTGTGGTGAATGTAAGGTAAAATATCTATTTTCTTAAAGCTGACTTACAAAAGCAAATATCATTGATTATTATACTTTTACATAGACCGAAACATCTGTCTCTATTCCAGCCTCTGATATTTGGACACATATCGGGTAGTGTAGAGACAGACAAAATAGGCCCTGTCAAATGGAGACATACAGCATCTCCGCAGGTGCGAGGGTTTTAAACCCATTTAGATACCTCGGATCTGCAAAAGCAAGATATATTTGGAAAGATGAATATGTTTGTAGTTCAGTCATACGATCATTTTCTCCCTACACCATCTATGTCTCCGGTTCCATCAGAGTATTTTTTAACAAAACTGATCTCAGATCGACCTGTTAAAACTGCGTGCGCAGCCAAAAGGTCAAAGACTCACATGACACTAACAAAATGAAGGTCACGATAATGCCCAACACTTATTTAGAGTCGATGTAAAGATAATTGCGTGGCAAATCTATCGATTTGTCACGCTTCGTGTTCATTATTGCGTGGCAAATCTAACGATTTGTCACGCTTTGTTTTCGCTATGTTTATTTTTTTTTTTTATTTATTTTTTTTTTTTTGGGAATGTCCCTAGACAAAATCGAAAATAATATAGCATAATTGTCTTCACCAAACTTTTTTTAAATGACCTGGATTCAAAAATGAATATCTACAACTCAATTTTTGCCAACCGGAAGTGAGCCATTGCATCAAGTCTGTAGGTCTTATTTATGAACCGATTTACCTGAAATTTTCTTCAATATGATCATTGTTATAAGACGTATCTGGTGAGGCTAACAAAAATTCAATTTTTAAATACTTTTGTCAAAAGAATTTGAATCCTAAATTTTTAAAAAAGCTCAAAATTTCTAACTCAGCTGCTAATTATCCGATTGATCTGAAATTCACAGGACATATACAGAATGTCCATACAAATAAATTTATACAATCAAAATGTTCTATCACTTCTCGTTTTTGCGTGAGAACTTCCGATTTTTTCAAATCACGCCTGGCATCCCCACTTCCGGTGTAAATTTCAGATGTTGGCAAAAACCATATATATTGTCTGTCAGTCATAATTAGAATGCACTTAGCAGAAAAAATCCAAACCGGAAGTGCTGCATAAGCCGTCGCCTCGGACTGACCCATTTTAGCAAAAAATTAATTAGTCCTCTATTTTTTATCCGATTTCTATGATTTTGGTGTCTATTAAAACCTTATAATCTTGTCTACAGTTTGTTGGAACAGAATTTTGAATTTCGAATTTTTTGAAAATTCAAAAGGCCACACCATGTGACCTTGACCTTCGATGACCTTGAAAATTTCACTGTAGGATGTTCTTGACGTCAGCTATCCACAGTTGTACTCATTTTGGTTGAAAAATAATAGCCATTCAAAAAATAACATTTTTGACAACTTTGGACGGCTGTATGACCTTTTCTAATAAACACAGAAAATTATTTTTTTTCAATTTTGTAATTCCCTTTTGATTATCTTTTCAATGATATATGACATTAATCCATTAAAATATGTTTAAAAATATTAGGTTTTTTTTTCGACTGAGGGTTCTAACTTACAATGTAATGAACTCCTAGCAATATGGTTTGTATATTCAGGATCTACTCAATTTTCTCTTTTCAACGATATGTGACATGGGTGGTTTAATACAAAATTGAATTTGTGAAAATAGGCATAAAAGTGTTAAATGTTTATAAGAAATGTGATAAAAATCTGTAGATTGTGGGGATTAAAATGATTGACAGGTGTTATAACAGGTTATATAATATGATAGGAAAGCTATCCATATGAACTTTTGACATGCAGGTGTGAAGTAGTTTGGGTCATAAACAGATTAATCTGATTATGTAATCTTTTAACACTTAAAAAAATAACTTTTTTTTTCAATTTTTTTTTTTCAATTTTCACTTACAATAATTTAACATACACTCATATAGAGTAGTGAATTTTTGATACATTAACCTGTTCGAATTTTTTCTGTACCATTAATAGAACTCTATCTGCAAGATACACACAACAGTTTTGGTTATTGGTGTTAGTTAGGCTGAGGGAATAAAAGCAAACAACGGGGTGTCTCTAGCAAACACTGACCGTGGAATCAGAATACAGAGCGGGATTCTAACCCACAGCACTTAATCGCCTAGCAGGCACCAATTCAACTGGCTTCCGACTGCGCTAATCCTTAGCAATAAAAAGAAAGTGGCAATTTTATCTTCTGCTAAGATTATTATAGGTCATAAATAAATTAATCTAATTACACTATCTTTCAACTCTATAATAATTCACAGTTTTTTTTTTAATTTTTTGCAAAAATGCCCGAATTCTGTGTCCATCAGTGCTCTAGATTATTCAAAAGATGTTAGAACCATTAAATTGACGCTTAGAACCACATGTGTTAAAGTGACTGATACACCATTAGTGTCTTGCTTAAAAATAGGTTTAGGGTCAAAAGTTATGTTAGTAATTAATTTAAATGTTTCTACTGGCTTGATAAATGGAAGTTTTAGTCAAGTAACATTCATTCAAACTGATCAGAATAATCAAACTGACAAAATTTTTGTAAAATTTGATAATGCTAAAGTTGGAATAAATGAAGACAGTGTTCCACTTCCGCCAAATGTACCACGTGGTAGTATTGGTATTGAGAGATATGAAAGCCCTCATGTTAACTATAAGGGCGATGTTCCCATTACGTCTCGCCTATGCAGTTGCTATTCACAAAGTACAAGGTCTAAGTCTCGATAGAGGCGTAATATCACTTCATAAAATATTCCAAGCTGGTCAAGCCTATGTTGCGTTAAGCAGAGTTAAAACATTTCAGGGTCTTACAATACAAGAGTTTACGGAAAAAAACATATATTGTGATGAAAAAATTGAATCGGCATTAGGAGCAATGGATACTTTTTTAAAACCCGAAAACGAGACCATATCAACTGATACTAATATAATTTTACACAATGTTCAGGGTTTATCTATTCATATAGAGGATTTACAGAAACACAGGAAAATGATAGAAGGTGATATCATTTGTTTAACAGAAACATGGCTAAATAATTCATTAACTCCAGCAAAACTAAAGTTAAATGGTTTCCGTCTTCACCACCATCCTCGAAGCAGCAGCTATGATGACAATAGAGATTTCAAATTTTTGAAAGAAAAGGGACACGGAGGAGTAGGAGTATATTATAAGCAAAACAAAAATGTCAACATTTTAAAATTGGGAACACATTGCTTTGAATATTTTGGATAAAAATATTAACGTAATTGTTATCTATAGACCACCCGTTTATCGATTAGATTTATTTCTCCCAATGTTAGAAAGATTATTAGTTGAATTACGAGAATCTGGTTCAGACTATGTTATTATGGGGGATTTCAACCAAAATATCTTGGAGGGTCATTTGTCTATACTAAATTGTTTTCAAAAATTTGGTTTTCAACAACTTGTTCAGCATTACACTACTGAAGGTGGGACACTTATAGATCATGTTTATATCAGTAAAGAAATTCCGTCACATAATGTTCACATTTCACACATACCTGTATATTATAGCTACCATGAAGCTATTAAAATAACCATACGATAAGTTATATTGATACAAGATTGAATTTACCCTTTCACAAAACATTTCATTTAGCTTGGCTCTTTACTAAAAGTGGTCGAGTCAACACCGGGCTTGAGAGGGTTTGAAGTTCAAAAATGTCTTACAGCTATCAGGCAAAGTATCACGGGCCACGCTCAGTGCTGTTCACAGCTCTAGTTTAATATTATGTTAGAAATAAAGCATCTCTGGAGGTGTGATAAATCCCCATTTAACAGGACCTTTTTCTTCTGACTCTACTCCAGCCGACAACTGTCAAAATATTCGTTAGAGGCTGGAATAGAGGCAGATGTTTCGAACTAACTTTTACAATGAGCTTGTTTGTTTCGGTTTTCTTTATACAAAAAATATATCTAATTTTCGGGATATTTTTGTCCCCTTTAACATCTCGTATGTAGGACTGTGTGTCAAATAAGAGGAGGAATTGTTAATTTGTTTATTTTTATTATTCTGTGTATACTTTGTAACTCTTTCAAATTCATTTTTTTGTGATATTTTCAGGTTGGTAAGAAGAGATAGATATAATATTAATGTAATGATATAGTTTCCTAAAACATAATCTATATTGACAATAAATTATTCTGCATCCCAGTTGTTCTTTTATGTTATGTATGTAATTGTCTTCATACCGGATACCTGGATTACAATGTAGATTGTAGAGGAGACCCCTCCTAGAGTTATTCAATGCTATGTAGTGTAGTGAATCAAGGCCGCAGCAAAAGCCCACTTCTTTTCTATTTCCAACTCTCTTTAACATGTAATGTCTGAAACACGATTGGTTTATTATCCCATAAAAACGGACCAACGTGAGTAATTCCTACTAGTTTGAATGATAATAAAAGTGTTTGGGGTGGAATTCATGACCATAAAGCTATTATTCTACAATATCAAAATGACAAACATGTGCTTATCTTAGTCCTAGATGAACACTTACAATTCTCGGCCTGAAACGTTTATATGCTATGTGATGGCATTGATGCTGAATATTGAATATCAAAACTTCTTCTTGCTGAAGATTAACGTGACAACGTTGTCACGATTTTAACACGTGTCTCTCACGAAAACAATTCAAAAAACATAACATCCAGAAGATGTTGTTTCTAATATATAAAAGGGATTGTAAAGAGGTTTTCTAAATTTTGTATGTGTATGGGCGGCAATGATAGCATCAATTTGCGCCATTCCAATTTTCAATCAGACGTCTGTGGTTCTAGCAATTTTACTAAAACTAAGTGTTTTATGACGCCAATCCCAAAAAGGTCTTATGTGATACATGCAAATTTCGCGGGGGTGACGTCATATAACACCTAGTTTTAATGGAATTGCAGGACCTACAGACGTCTGATTGAAAATTGGAATGGTGCAAATAGATGCTAACAGTGTCCCCGATACGCATAACAAATTTAGAAAACCTCTTTACAATCCCTTTAGATAATAAATATACTCCTCGGTCTAAGGTTGAATGTTGAAGAGACGATGTTTGGTTGAAAGAACTTACATTCTCGTCGATAGCTGAGGTTTTCATTGCGGAACGAATATAAGTATAACTCAGAGTTTTAATGGTGAAAGTAGGTTGATCTTCTTTCTGGAGCACCTGTCCGTATCCCGGAAAAATGGTATAACAGAACTGTTCAGCATCTTCCTAATTACAGATACACAGAAATATAATTCCTTCGAATGGATGTCGGAATTAGTGTCAAATGAGACAAAATGGGGACTAGGGGGTCTCTTAATAAAAAATGTTTTTCGTTTGACGAAATAAATAATATACCAGGCCTTCTTATAATTATAAAACTGGAAACATATTATATAATTACACTACTGTAACTCGTCAAAATTACGATATTAACAAATATAATATTACACACTAGAGCTGTGAACAGCACTGAGCGTGGCCCGTGTAAAGTAAAGAGCTAAGCTAAATGAAATGTTTTGTGAAAGGGTAAATTCAATCTTGTATCAATATAACTTATCGTATGGTTATTTTTATAGCTTCATGGTAGCTATAATATACAGGTATGTGTGAAATGTGAACAATATGTGACGGAATTTCTTTACTGATATAAACATGATCTATAAGTGTCCCACCTTCAGTAGTGTAATGCTGAACAAGTTGTTGAAAACCAAATTTTTGAAAACAATTTAGTATAGACAAATGACCCTCCAAGATATTTTGGTTGAAATCCCCCATAATAACATAGGCTGAACCAGATTCTTGTAATTCAACTAATAATCTTTCAAACATTGGGAGAAATAAATCTAATCGATAAACGGGTGGTCAATAGATAACAATTACGTTATTATTTTTATCCAAAATATTCAAAGCAATGTGTTCTATATTTAAAACTCCCAATTTTAAAATGTTGACATTTTTGTTTTGCTTATAATATACTCCTACTCCTCCGTGTCCCTTTTCTTTCAAAAATTTGAAATCTCTAGTGTTATCATAGCTGCTGCTTCGAGGATGGTGGTGAAGACCATTTAACTTTAGTTTTGCTGGAGTTATTGAAGTATTTAGCCATGTTTCTGTTAAACAAATGATATCACCTTCTAGCATTTTCCTGTGTTTCTGTAAATCCTCTATATGAATAGATAAACCCTGAACATTTTGTAAAATTAAATTAGTATCAGTTGATATGGTCTCGTTTTCGGGTTTTAAAAAAGTATCCATTGCTCCTAATGCCGATTCAATTTTTTCATCACAATATATGTTTTTTTCCGTAAAATCTTGTATTGTAAGACCCTGTAATGTTTTAACTCTGCTTGACCAGCTTGGATTTTTTAGGAAGTGATATTACGCCTCTATCGAAACTTAGACCTTGTACTTTGTGAATAGTAACTGCATAGGCGAGACGTAATGGGAACTGGCGTCTAACATCGCCCTTATAGTTAACATGAGGGCTTTCATATCTCTCAATACCAATACTACCACGTGGTACATTTGGCGGAAGTGGAACACCGTCTTCATTTATTCCAACTTTAGCATTATCAAATTTTACAAAAATTTTGTCTGTTAGATTGTTCTGATCAGTTTGAATGAAAGTTACTTGACCAAAACTTCCATTTATCAAGTCAGTAGAAACATTTAAATTAATTACTAACATAACTTTTGACCCTACACCTATTTTTAAGCAAGACACTAATGGTGTATCAGTCACTTTAACACATGTGGTTTTAAGCGTCATTTTAATGGTTCTAACATTTTTTGAATAATCTAGAGCACTGATGGACACAGAATTTGGGCATTTTTGCAAAAAATTAAAAAAAAAAACTGTGAATTATTATAGAGTTGAAAGATAGTGTAATTAGATTAACTTATTTATGACCTATAATAATCTTAGCAGAAAATAAAATTGCCACTTTCTTTTTATTGCTAAGGATTAGCGAAGTCGGAAGCCAGTTGAATTGGTGCCTGCTAGGCGATTAAGTGCTGTGGGTTAGAATCCCGCTCTGTATTCTGATTCCACAGTCAGTGTTTGCTAGAGACAGCCCGCTGTTTGCTTTTATTCCCTCAGCCTAACAAACACCAATAACCAAAACTGTTGTGTGTATCTTGCAGATAGAGTTCTATTAATGGTACAGAAAAAATTCAAATGTAATGTAAACTTGACCCTCGTCTTATCAATCCCAATGCTCAGACCAAGTTTCATCAAAATCCATTCAATATTGTAGCTTCTATTGTGCCCACAACAAGATTTGGACCGACAGACCAAGGGAAGCGACGGACAGGGGCAACGGCAATATACAACCACATATTCATGTGGGCGTATAAAAATATTAGGATATCATATCTGAGAAACAGACAATATGTTTGATTTCTGATGTAACTTTTCATGGGATGATGTTTCAAAGAACGAACACAAAATGGTCTGTACACATTTAGTCTTGTATTCAGAGACTCATAATTAGTCTTGTTAAACATAAGAAAAAATCATTAAGGTACATTGGACATTGTTTGTGTAAAATTTTGAAGATGAAGAATGCTTTGTTTCGAAGAAATCTTTCTGAAATAGAGAATAAAATTAAATGCCTCAACCCGGGGACGAGGCCTAGGATAATTTTGAAAGCCCTATTTTGTTGCCTTACAACAATGTTGATTCCAAAAGACTGATATTGGTGATCAACAGTCTATATATAATTGAAAATGGCATTATAAAAGAGAACCAAATATTTAGTTGGTATGAGGTATTTGAGTTTTCGTATTAATAGATTTAACAGCAGTGTAGCCTGTTGTGTCATCAGCAAACAAGTCACAATAGGAGGCTATATGGAGGGAGAGTTCATTTATAAATAAATCACACGAAAGAGGTCCTTAAATAGATCCCTGTGGCACACCATGACATCTAGCTGAGAAGACAATGTACCATTGGCAAATGTAGATTGTTTCCTGTTTTATAAATATGATTTCAAGAATCTACTGGAATTTAGAGAAAATGTATAGATATTACATTTTTTAATTATTAAATCGTGTTTTACCAAATCAAAAAAGCTTTACGGAAATCAAAATAAACAAACCTGTTAGTAATCCCTCATTAAGATATAGATACATATTATCAGTGATATTTGTTAAGGCTGTCAAACAAGAACTCTCAGATATAAATCAAGACTGATTGAAAAAATAACCGTATTTGTGGTAACACTTTAGCAAGTTAGATGGAAAAATACATAGATCAATACACAAATTGAATATACGAGTTAAACAATAAGACAAAATTGGGGAACCGACAAAAGGATTAATCAAGTCCAGGCTTAGTGCTTCGGTGGTATCTAAATTTCTTAAAGATTTGTTGACATCATAGGCAGTATTAGCAGGAATATGGAAATATTTTTCCTGAGGCACACGGTCATTGATAAAATTACGTATAACAGTACCATTTTTATATTGTCGTCGCCCCTGTCCGTCCGTCCGTCCGTCCGTCGGGCCGTCCGTCAACATTTCTTGTGAGCACTTTAGAGACTACAGTTTTCATCTGATTTTGATAAAACCTGGTGTGATGCTTTAGATTGATAAGATCTCGGTCAAGTTCGAATTTGACATATTTTCGATGGACGGTTTTTGAGATATTGCCCCTGACTTAGAACGCCTTGAAATTTGTTAAAAATTGTTCGTGAGCAGGATTGAAGCTACAGTTTTCATCCGATTCTGATGAAACTTGGTGTGATTATTGGAATTGATAAGATCTTGGACAAGTTCTAACTTGACGCATTTTCGATGAACGGTTTTTGAGTTATTGCCCTTGACTTTGTTAAAACGCGTCAAAATTTGTTAAAAAATAGTTCGTGAGCAGGATTGAAGCTACCGTTTTCAACCGATTCTGATGAAACTTAGTGTGATCATTGGAATTGATACGATCTTGGACAAGTTCTAACTTGACGCATTTTTGATGAACGGTTTTTGAGTTATTGCCCTTGACTTTGTTAAAACGTGTTGAATTTTGTTAAAAATAGTTTGTGAGCAGGATTGACGCTACAGTTTTCAACCGATTCTGATGAAACTTGGTTTGATCATTGGAATTGATAAGATCTCGGACAAGTTCTAATTTGACGCATTTTTGATGAACGGTTTTTGAGTTATTGCCCTTGACTTTGTAAAAACACGTCAAAATTTGTTAAAAATAGTTTGTGAGCAGGAATGAAGCTACAGTTTTCAACCGATTCTGATGGAACCTGGTGTGATCATTGGAATTGATAAGATTTCGGACAAGTTCTAACTTGACGCATTTTCGATGAACAGTTTTTGAGTTATTGCCCTTGACTTTGTTAAAACGTGTTGAAATTTGTTGAAAATAGTTCGTGAGCAGGATTGAAGCTACAGTTTTCAACCGATTCTGATGAAACTTGGTGTGATCATTGGAATTGATAAGATCTCGGACAAGGTTCTAACTTGACGCATTTTTGATGAATGGTTTTTGAGTTATTGCCCTTGACATTGTAAAAACGAGTCAATATTTGTTGAAAATAGTTCGTGAGCAGGATTGAAGCTATAGTTTTCAACCGATTCTGATGAAACTTGGTGTGATCATTGGAATTGATAAGATCTCGGACAAGTTCTAACTTGACGCATTTTCGATGAACGGTTTTTGAGTTATTGCCCTTGACTTTGTTAAAATGCGTCGAAATTTGTTGAAAATAGTTTGTGAGCAGGATTGACGCTTCAGTTTTCAACCGATTCTGATGAAACTTGGTGTGATCATTGGAATTGATAAGATCTCGGACAAGTTCTAACTTGATGCATTTTTGATGAACGGTTTTTGAGTTATTGCCCTTGACTTTGTAAAAACGCGTCAAAATTTGTTCGTGAGCACAATAGAAGCTACAGTTTTCAACCGATTCTGATGAAACTTGGTGTGATCATTGAAATTGATAAGATCTTGGACATGTTCTAACTTGACGCATTTTCGATGAAATGTTTTTGAGTAATTGCCATTAACTTACGAAAAACGCGTCAAAATTTGTTTGTGAGCACAATAGAAGCTACAGTTTTCAACCGATTCTGATGAAACTTGGTGTGATCATTGGAATTGATAAGATCTCGGACAAGTTCTAACAAGAGATATTTTTGATGAACATTTTTTGAGTTATTGCCCTTGACTTTGTAAACACGCGTCAAAAGTTGTTTTTTGCCCTTGATTAGAGCTGTGTGATTTAATTGTTTGTTGTATTTGGGTTATTGATAATTGATTTTAAAAAATTTTGTGGAATTATTCAGCATAAATAATTTCTTCAATATGAGAAAATTCGTACTTTAGTCACTTAAGACTGTTTTATTATTTCTGACAGCTGCCAGTGGGCGTATGTTACCTTGCATCGCAAGCTATCTTCAACTTATGGCTGGGATATATTGACCGAACTGGCAAAGCCAGAGAGTATCTTATTTCAGTAAAATACAAATTAAATTTGTCTGGATCGATTGGAATTTTTTCAAGTTCAATACTTTTGTTATTTGAGGGGTTACTAATTGCATTCCACATTTGTTTAGAATTATTCTTATCTGAAACGAGGTTTTGAATATACTTAGCCTTGGATCATGGATTTCACTTCCATACGACATTCTCTATAATCATTGGTATTGTTATTTTTCTTATGGAGATCATCATTTGAAAAAAATCATCAGTCAACCAATCTGGTATTATAGCATTTTTAAATCGTTTCTAAAGGGGCATGGATATTCAAAATCGGATTCATTATTTCATACCACTTATTCAAGGCATCTTCAGGATTAGTTAACTTTAAAACTGGATCATATCTTCTCTATATTATTATCTTCGAAACAGAGGGTGAAATCCTTTTATCTTGAGTTAATGACCCGAAACTCGAGTCATTTAAATGTGATTCAGTTAAACCAAACATATCAAAGTTGCACGATAGAAGTTTTATTTGATTAAGTTTTTTTTAGAATTTAGATGGGAACAATGAAAACCCTTGTGTGTTAAAATCAGTTCATATTTAACCAACTAGAAAAAAAAGAGACATAAAATGAAAATAATAAAACATGCCCACAAAAAATAATAATAATAATAATAACTCAGAAATGCTCTGTTAATAGACACAAAGAAATACTTAATTAGAATCTCCACTTAATCAACAAACTGGATACGCTGTAAATAAACAATTATTATTGTCCTAGAAGGGAACCCTGGAGACGAAGGGAACGGTGGTGGTCTTCGAAAGCTTATACTTGCATATGAAGGATGCTTGAAAGGATTGGAATAGTTGGTGAATTGGATTTCGGGGAAGGGAGGGTTTGATTCTCCCAAATGTACAGGCCTAGGGTGGAGCAGACACTTTATTTAGAAATTAGGATTAAGGGTCTTGATATTGGGTTTTCTTCTGTTCTTATTCTGATCTGAAATTAGAAAAAATAACTCGCCCGATGGACGAGAAGTATAGTATCTGTTATGTACTGATTGTTTTTAGTTTACTATGAACAATATTATCATTTAAGTTCTTATTTTTTGAATATGCAACTATCATTTTCTGCTTATAGACATGGGGGAATTTCTCTTGAAGGCTCTTATAGTGGGCATGAACTATCTTGCTTGCTCGATTGCTGGTTGTATTAAACGGGACAACAAAGGGTGCTATGCCTACATTATGATAAATATTTAGTCCTATAGGTCTTGCTGTATTCAATGTCTCAATCCAATGGGCTTCCCTAGATTGACGGCGGAATTTGGTAGTTTTATCTTTGGGCAAGTCAATTTCTATACGCTCAATTGGGATTAGGATGAGATCGTCTATCGAATGATCGTCGAGGTTGAAATGATTAGAAACAGGCTTGTCTTTCTTTAATTTGATGTCTGACCTATGAGCATTAAAGCGAGTTCGTAAATTATTCTAGTTTCTCCTACATATTGTTTGGGGTATTTCTTGCATGCAATTAAATATATTACATTCGAATGTTCACATGTTAGATGTTCCTGGATCGGGTACCTTGTATTCGTAGAGTTGCTTACAAAATAATGAGTTTCTGAAATAAAGGGACATGTTTTGCATCTACTGGACAATGCAATCGCGTCATATTTTTCTAAACTTAAACAGTGTGCTGAGTACAATTTGGATGTTAAACTACTGTGTGACAATAATGGTCTACTCCAAGTACAATTTTTAAAATAAGTGGAAAACCCTGATCCCATGACCAACCCCAGTACACATTAAAGATGGGTTCCCTTATTTTCATTTAAGTAAATGAAAATTATTCAATTTATGATTTAAGTGTCTCAGCACTGGTTTAGCCCCGGTTTATTTAAATATTATACTTACAGATATAATCCGTTATCACGAGATAATCACTAGATAATCCTATATATTACACATCCTAAGAAAAAGAGTGGTCTCTTGGTTCAATGGGTTCCGTATCACTTTTTAGATCTATAGTTGATACTTACAGTTTTAATCGTCTGTCACGCGATAAACACGAGATAATCCTATTAAACTTTACAGTAGAAGATATACCGGTAGAAGGGAACATCAGTAAAATATAAGTTCTAAATTTTAATCCATATAGTTGATCATAGCAAAAGTAAGAGAGATCAGAGAGCATGACTTTCACTGTCGGCCATCTTAAGATTGCATGTCATTCAGATTCAGCTTTCTTAGAGCCCATTCGATAATACAGTCCAGATTCTCCTGATTGAATATTCGGTTTTTCTGATCTTTATGCAAAATCGAGGAGACATGGAGAATCGACATGGCGGCTGTCATGATAGTAGGTAAACAACAGTTACTGCGTTATAGGTGTTCATCCGCTGAAAAAGTTATGTTTTCATCGTCAAGTTAAATCTTTCACAGCTACACCTGGAGTCTGTGACACTGTCCTGCTTAAACAAATAGAAAATCAAATAGTTAGATTTAGAATAGAAATGCCTTACTGGAAAAAAATTACACACTAGCAGAGGATCGATGTTACTGTCAGAGTGGCTCGCAAATGACAGACTTTAAGTTTATACAGTTTAAAACATTGCAAAGTAGATAAAACAATTTTATTCCCCTCGATCCGAAATTGTGTCACGTGGTCTCTCCGCAATCACACCACCTCGACAGATAGGAGAACTCGGACACACCGAACTCTGCCAAAAGAGTCACGTGATGAATGATAAAATGAAAATGGAGAAATCCAGAGAATCCGGACTGCATAATCGAATGGGCCCTTAGTGACCTGCAAATATCCGAATAAAGAAATATTGACAACATGCCACATTGGTCTGTTTTATTTGTCATAATGACAACCTGATTTATCACTTGCTGTACAGACAATTGACAGAAATAATAAATATACATGTAAAACTTTCAAAATTTCAAAAAACAAAATCGTAATTAAAGACCGGTGCACACTAAAATAAAAATGTGGGGAAGTAAAGAAACTGAGGAAACCAAACCTGGAACCGTTTCATCTCAAAAGGTATTAAAACTGTATTCATAAATTAAAATCAGTTCAGTCAGCTTCAAAGATTTTACTGTGGCAGATTAGATATTACTTTGATTTTAAATTAGCTTGATATCCTGGTTTAGATATATTATGTATGATATACACGTCTTATGTAAACAGTTTATTGAGACCAATATATTTGTAAAAAATTAATTAAACTTGAGGCCTAGACCGAAACATTTGCCTCCATTTCAGCCTCTGATAGCTATTTTAAAAGTTGTAGGCAGCCGATAACTGTCAAAACATTACATCTATCAGATGCTGGAATATAGGTTTTTTTTGGACTACTTGAGGCCTAACAGAGACGCAAATGTTATAACGAAACATCTACTCTAGAATAAGTGCCAAGTTTGTTATCAAGTATATATATATTATTTCTTGGTAACAGGAATCTTTTATTTCAGGTTGGACCTCCAGAAGAATGATCCACCAACAGAAAAGGTTTCAATAACCATGTTACTAAGATAAAATATTCTTAAATAAATTTCCAGATCATGTGTACAAGTGGTATTAAATTTCATGTGTGAAAGATAATTTCTTATAAAGTCGCCTTTCAAAAATAATTTTTAACTTTTGGTGTATATTTGTGAATAAATGAAGTATAATTGACAACAATAACAGATGTATTGTTGTTTATTCTTATAAAATTCTGGAATAGCATCTAAAACAGATGACTCCATCTTGTATCAGCAGGTAAGATTTTCTTAGTTAAATTCTCTTGGTAGGAGAGTATATTAATAGTCTTCACAAACTTAGTTAGTATGACATGAATAAGTTAATAATATTATAAGCAGGTAGATCGTGTATGTTTTTGAAACTGGAATCAGTGATTATAAAAAGTTGTCAAAAGCATAGACTTAGTAGGCTACCTTAGTAGTACCATTTAAGATTCTTTTACCATTTAAGATTAAGATGGCTGCCACATTGAATTATGTAAGTGGCCATATCTCAGGTTATAAATGTCTTTGCATCATCAATAAGGTCATCAAAATACATGTTTTTGATGATAAATATTTCACCTGTGCTGTTCATAGTATTGTCGTACAATTTTTGGCACCCATCTGTGATTTTCAAAGTGGTCACAAAATCCTTTTTAATTATCCAAGTCACCATATCTAAGATTATATATGACTTAGCAGCATCATAATTAGGTCATCAAAATATATGGTTGTGGTGGCACGGATTTCTTCTGTGATCTGTATTATATTGTCAGATAATTTTTGGCAGCTAATTTTTGGCAGCTAATTTTTGGCAGCTATCTTAACTCTTCTCAAGTTATGTACGAGTATCTGTTTTTTAACAGTCTCCTTCAATAGGTTTTAAGCTTAGATCACTTATGAATGTCGGACCTTTTGAGTATTAACGCGTAAAAAATGTTTAAGCTTTTAGTTCGAAAAGTTTATTTCAACCAATTAAGTTGGTACTTGCGATACAGCAAGCGTATAACATAAAAGAACATGTTAAAATCAACAGTGTTCAAATATTAATTTATTTACAGAATGGAAGTCAATTATGTATCAGTATTAACCATCTTGTTGGTTGTTTACAGTGGATGTTTGTAAGCTACATTTTATAGTTGTTCCTTTATAAATACCCTTGCTATTTCCTTATGGATTTCGTATGTATCCACCACTATACCAATCTTGAAAGTCACTATCAATTATACGAAACCTCTTTCCAGTGGAGTTATTTCTCTTGACCAAAATCATTCTTATAGAAAAATATAGTTCAGAATTTTGAAAATAAAATTTGGCATAATCTTACAACAACCTAATCAGCAGTTTTTTTTCTTTCATCTCAATTGTCGTAGATTTCACATCTGTGGTACATGGAAAATCTCCCACCAAAGTACCCTTAGAAGTATTGGTTTAATTAGAAGATCATTGGTTGTTTTCTTTCTACAATTTTCCTCGGTACAGGTAGTATAAGACCTTTCAATATGGTCGCAAGGGGATTCCCCATTCCATTTCATTCCATGGGGAAAGTGAGACCATATTGAAAGGTCCCAAAAGAGACCTAAACACTCTACATTTCATAAATTCTTACACCAAAAAAACACCTAAACACCCTACATTTCATAAATTCTTAGACCAAAAACACCTTCAATCAATTCCTACATTCCATCAAAAAAGCATTTTATAAAATAACTTCCTTGTTTCGCTTAACATCCGGTTTTTTAATAGCCTCGTTTTAAATAATGTTATTTTTAGCCTAGAAACTTTTAGAAGAGAGATAACCTTTTAGATTTCGATTCGTTGTATATCTACACAACAACACCAGAGCAATCGTATTATCAATTCCTCAAAGCTTTAGAATATCTACCAAAGAAAGATGTTCAAGATATATTTCAATATTACGAAGAAAACGAAGAAGAAGTGGAAATAAAAGATATAGAAAACTTCATTAAAGCAAAGAATCCAACGGATATAAAAGTTTTCTTACGAAAAATGTTAATGATCTAGACTTGTCTAATATTGATAGCAATCGAAAGAACTTAATATTGTTTGATATCAAGCTGTTCAACAAGAATTCTTCACGAAAGGAAGACATCACAACTGTCACTGCATATACCAATCCCAACCTCTTTACGGGATGGATTCTATGTTCATTAGAAAAAATGCAAATTGTTTTTTATTATTTGAATTAAACGATAAAGATTTATCTCAAATCATTCAGTCGATAAATCATGGAATGGATAGAGATACATTTAAAAAGGTTTGTAAAGCTCAATGGAGAAACCCAGATGATCATGGATATGTATTTGTAAATACTAGAAAACCTGCGGGTGAAAGAGTTATGATCGACATATGTTAATTTTATTTTTTTGAAAATGGATAATTGGAATAATATTGTAAAAAGAAATAGAGAATATATCAAAGCTAAGAATAAAATAAAGACCCAAGTTGAAAAAACAAATTACAACAACTTGGATTAACAGAAAATCTACAAACTCTATTTCAACCAATATTAAAATCTCAAGAGGATATTAAAAAGAAATTAGCTTTAGAACCCACACCTCATCATATAGAACCTCATTACCCCAAACCGATTGAATATGGTGGTATTATAATTAGGACATTAGATGATATAAAACATTATTTTTCAAACCCTGACCCAGTTTTACCAAAGAGCATTTCACCAATCGTTGATGAAGTGGGGCTAATGTTTAATGGTTTTAGAAAAAGATTTAAGCCAAATTCCCCCGAATTTATAATCGATACAAAAGATTTTATATACACATTAACAAAAGGATTAATAGATTTAATGAATGGCGAGGATGTTGGTATTGCCGATTATAAGGATTTAGTTGCATACTCAAAATTTCTACATGCGATAAGAAAGTCAGGAACCGAAACATGAAGATTGAAAGAAGTTGATTTATATATAACAAAAGTTATTGAGCAAGATGAAGAGGAGGTAGATGATTATGCAGAAGATTATCCAATCATACAAGAAATAGACGAATTCGAAGATGTGGTATCTGGACAAGGTATAACGTTTTTATCCGACAACAACGAGGAACTACTTAATAGATTACGAGTAATATTAGCGGCAATGAAGGAAGGACATCGATCAAACAGACAATTTAATGAAGTAAATTGTATACTAAAAAGACTCCTAGAAAAGGTATTATAGATAAAAATGATTATAAAAGCGTGATTACAAATGTCAAATAAAGAACAACTATTCGTTATCACCTCAAATAAATCAGACATTAAATTGTCTCTAGATTATGAGTACGAACTCGATCGCAAACAAGAATATGAATTGGGATTAAAGTATTTCTCTGTTTACAATTCCATTAGAAATATCAACGAAAAAAATAACCAAATAAAAATATTAACAGATAATGGAGTTACATTCAAAACCATACGTTTATTACCAGGAAGCTACGAATACGTAGCCATTAACGAATACCTATCTGAATATGGGGGGAGTGCAAATGGTAAAAACAATATTGAATTCGAAGGTTATTTGAATCTGGACAAAATAAAATTGATATTAAGAAATAATAGTCAAGTTGATTTCAACGAAGAAAATTCATTGAATGCGTTACTAGGATTTGATAAACAAACATACACGCAATCCACTTTAGCACCACACAAAGCTAATATCGAGAATGATATCGATGTGATAAATATACATTGCAATTTGATAAACGGTGGATTTTTCAATAAATACAAACGTCAGATTATTTACAGTCTTCCAACATTCACTGTACCGATAGGATATAGAATTATAGTGAAACCATTTAAAACGACATATTTACCACTTAAATCCTTTATGATTAAAGATATAAATCTGGAAATCAAAGATGTTAAAAATAGGTTTATAGATTTTTGTAACGAGGAAATTGTTATTAAACTTCAATTAAAACAAATAAATTAAATTAAACACTCTTCATTCTCTTCTTGAATAGTAAAGTAATCGAAATCATCAAATTCGTAGTTTTCATCCAAACTCAAGTCATCTTTATCACTATTAGGATACATGATTCCTTCGCTGGCCGGTGCCTTTCTCTTAACGAGATTCAGATAACTTCTAAAAACTTTCTTTTGCTTATCATCATCCTTTGGAATAACTACTCCATTGCTGAAACTTTTCCCATGGTTTCTTTAATTCATTCGTCACATCATGTCCACTAGCTAATCGAATATAATCTTCTACAGCTATCTTATCATTAGAGTAACCCTTAAACATTTTCTTTTCTTTTAGAATACCGTCGGAAGTTAGAATTATATTGTATTTAACTTTTTGCGCTAAATATAAACCATATATAATTCAACCATCATCGTAATCATTCTTTCCTTTACAATAATCATTTTCGGACACCAACCCAGCTTCAGCTAATTTATCCCAATTGCAAGACGAAATGTATAAACTATCAGTATCTGTATAGTATATTTCCGGCTTATAAAATCCATCTATTACGTGAATAAAATTATTTATTATTTTCTTACTGTGAGATAATACGAATGATCCCAAATGGCTAGCTGTTAGTCGTGTACATTTAGGAGGTGTACAGTCAAATTCCTTTTCTTCTTCATTTATCTCAACGATATATTGAGTCTCATTTACTTTAGGATAGCTTTTGACGTGTGAATCGAAGTTGGCTTTTAAAGTTGCTTCACTCCATAAATGTCTCGATGTAGTTATATCCTTCTGAATAGATTTACCATACAATGAATTACCTAATAATTTCATACAATTACTACCTACGATATTACCTTCTTGTTTATATTTATTTGTTAGATCTCTCAAAATTAAAATATCATCTCTATAGGGTGGAGTTCTAAAATTTTCTTCGTATACTATACCATCTAATATTTTAATAATTCGTCCACCGGCTTTAACTATTTCTTGAATATCGACCGATGTTAAAACCTCGTGGCAAACGATTTCTGAACCTGATATTAGTGCCAGTTTCCTTTTTACCTTTTTTGTTCGTAAAGGTAATTTTATCTTTAGCTGGTATGGGTTGGAAGAACATGTTGGTAGGATATTTAAACCAGATATTTAAACCAGACTTTTAAAATAGTCGTTCTAGGTCTGAATTTCTGCTCATTAAAGAGCTTGACAAATTCTTTTTCTTCCTCAGGTAAAAATTCTCTAGCACTTTCCGCTTTTGGATAAATCCGACATGGCGGAAGCGTACAAATCGTTAGCATCAAAGGCCATTAGTTTAGTACATTTTATTTTTTTAAGTTTTGAATTAACTTCCGTTTTATCTTTTTTACTTTTACTATATTCTTTAAATAAATCAATTATATTACTACTCTCGAGTTCTGTGTATTCCTTTAATATATTACAAATTTCATCCATTTTATTCATTTCAAATGATTTTCGATTTGCAGAAACTCTTCCTCCTTTAATGGATTGTCTAATAAAATATCTTATAAAAGGGTGTGTATGTGAGTAAACTTTTTCTACGTTTTCTTTTTCGGTGTGTTTTGGAACCATTCTAGTATTTTCATACCATTCTTCTTCAACCATTTCTTTATTGTAATGATATAAATAATAGATTATTGGAAATATTCTGGAATACAACTCATTTCATAACTTTGTTATATTTTATCAAACAAGCTCCGAGACATAACGTATCTCTTTTAGCGTAAGGTTCTCATTCGTGTCTTATAGATTCCCAATTATCTTCGGTGTATTTTGCAATATTAATATCGGTAGATTAGATGAATTTCCCCATGCCGCCAAACTAGATTTTTCATGTTGATGGGAACATAATTATGAAATTAATATTTTGCAAATAATTAGAGTTGCCCATTATTTGTTTTTGTCTTTTCCATTTTTTCTGTAAATATTCATCGGTGAATGAATTAGGTAGAGACAGAATGCCTCTAGCTGTTACTAGTGGACATTGCGTTAGTTTTTTCGCATTTTTAAGCACGATCCAGTTATCAAAACCACTATCGTTATGAGAAATTAATGTTAATCTTTTTTTTATCTATTTTTCCTAAAGGTTGTAACATTTGATCGATGCAATCTTTACCCACAAATATTTCTACTATATTCATTAATTTATTATAAAATTCTTCTGGTACACTTTCAGTGGGATTTAAATCTGGAAAGTTATGTTTTACTCTTTCTAACATTTTTCTTAGTTTTTCTAAATTAATTAACATGCAAGAATAAGGAATGGCTTTATTCGTTTCTTTTTCGCTATAGGTTTCGCAATCCCATGCGTATAAACAATCATCGTGAATTGTTGGAAAAACATTTAGTTTTAGAGGTGAAACTTGTGTTACCGCATTATCATCTCTACAAGTTCTCCATACGTTTTCATCGTAATTATCTTCTATTTCTTTAATGCCTAAGGTTTTGTTATTTCTTCTAATGAGGCAGAAATGCGATTTATGTAAGTAAAATACCCAATCTAATTCCTCGGATACTTTCTTTGGTTGAAAATGTCTATGTTGAAAATTTCTTATTGAATTCACAGATTCTAGCAGTAATGTCATAACTCCTTTTCTGTTTGATTTTGAAAAACTGTTGATCAAATCTTGAAATTTTTTTTGTGTAGTCTTTGTTTAAAACATAGTTTACACATTTGATAAAACAGTATCCATCGCTTGGTATATAACAAGTTATACCCCTACTATATTCATTTATCTTTTTGAGTAGGGTAACACCACTACCCTTTTTTGATCTTTTTATTTCTTTGAAATTGTTTCTACGTAAAATGATTTTTCCTGAGAAATACCAATCAGAAGCATCCGATTTTACATCCACAGTTGCGAATAAATTGTGAAAAGTTTTGGCATTTAAGCCTACAAATTGCATGTTTTGTTTGTGTCCTCGATCTTGAATTATCTCTCCATTTAATTCAATTTGTCCTTTAAATGTTTCAATTTTTTTAGAAATAAGGTTAATAATACTGACAAAAAGTTCATTTGATATGAATGTTTCATCGTCTAAAATTTCAATTTTATTCATATTTTTTAAGCAACTATTTTTAATTAGGAATTTTCAACTTTTATTGATGATATTTCTACATCAAATTTATCTAAAATTTCATTGAATTCTTTTAATTCTTCAATGGTTATGTTCTTATCTTCTCTCGATCTTTCGAAAAATATAAACAATTTATTAAGATATGTATTTAAAATTTCTGTTTTCTTTTTATAATGAGATTTCTGTTTTGATGCAAAACCTAAAGTAATCAATCCACAAGATGAAGTTTGAACGGCAGTGAACGCGGCTAGTACAGTTGGGACAATTATTGGAAGCATTAATCCACCGGTTACGGCTGTTGCCACCGTTATCCCTACTGTTAGAACTGTACTTAATGTTTTGAAAACAGAATCAATTCTACTCCATGTTTTTCTGCATTTGTTAAAGTGTTTTAGTTTTTCTTTTAGTTCATTTTGTTCAGTTCCATTTTTTAGGTAATTAAATTAAGTGAACTTCTGATAAAGCTGCTACGTGTTTACTATCATCAATAACAACTTTTACAGTTACTAACGATATTTGTTGTTTCGAATCATTAATCTTATTCAGATGAAGTGAAAATTTTAGTTTTTCAATAGAGATTGATATATTAACATATGCAGCATAATCTCTTATTGTTAGTATTAAAAAATTTTGTTTTTCTTGACTTTTATGAATATCAATTGAGGTAAATATATCATTATTAACAAAATATAGTTTTACGTATTCAAAGTCTGTTGCTCGTAAAAACTGATAACTCATATTTCCTCCTTTTTGTAGTTCTGGATTTCTAATAATACTCACTGATGGTGGACTTTCCGTTTCCAATTTCATATAAAAATCTCTCAATCCAAGTTGATCTTTATTTTCATTATCTGGTATGATTAACATTCTAAACCTATCTATACATTTTCCACTCGTTTTACTTTCATGTAAGTGATTAACCTTGCTGTTTTCGTCGTTAATTTCATATTCTTTAGTTTCTACCTTGTCTCTACCATTGATAAACTGAAGAACTTTTCGAGCGTTACCATCATAGGAAAATAGATTCAATTACAACTTGTCCTCGGAAAGAAAACGATTCTGGAAAACCGTTATCAAATAAGTTTTTAGGGTCTCCATCTGTTATATGAGGAGAAAATAGTGTTAAATTTGCTATAAATCCATATTTTTTCACTAAATATATTTTTGATTTATTAATATTATGAGTAATAAAAGCATCTTTATTCTTCAAACTTCCAAATGGAAGATTGAAATAATATGATTTATTTATAATGCGACTATATTTTTGTCCTGTTTTAAAACTACGTTATTAATAGTGGTTATCTGTTGTTGAATAACACTATCAATGTCCTGTATTTGTTGTTGAATATAGGTTTTGATTTCGCTATCATCAATATTTTGTATTTTTTGTTGAATATAGGTTTTGATTTCGCTATCATGTATGTTTTGTATTTGTTGTTTAATATTTCTTAGTTCTTTTTGTAATTCACTGTTAAGTTTAGTTTCCAGAGCATTTAATTCCTATTGAAACGTATCTTCATTTTCATATGGAATGTTATCTATCAATTGTTGGATATCTAATTTTTTTTTTGCAATCTTATCATCTAATTTAGATATTAATGAAATTAAATTTTCTAACTCAGTTTTGTTCACTACGTTGACCAATTGTTTTTGAATAAAACTTTTTAAACCTTCTACATCTTGTTGTAGTTTAGTTTCATAAACAAAATTTATATTATTTAGTTAACGTTTGAAGAATCTTTTCACATTACTTATTTTATCTTCTAAATGGTTTTTATTTACTTCAATTGAATTTATTTGATCCCGTAAATATTTCTTGTGAACAGCGTCATTATCGTTTTCCGGAGATTTTAAATTAGTTACTTTGAAATTGTTCATATCTAAACCCCCTTGAAGAGTGTCTCCGATTTGATCCACAAAGTAAAGTTGGGTTTTTTAGTTTCTAAAGATAAAGAACCTAATCCAAACTAGTTCGCCATTTTTATTAAGTTAAATTTATTACAATTTCTTCAAACTATTTTCCTAAACTCAACTGATATGAAACTCAAAGTGAAAGCTTTCCACAATACTTTTGTCCCGGTAATTGAATTTGAAATGTTGAACATTTGATTGGTTGATTAGTCAATTGCACTATCTCTTCAGTGGGTTCTAATCCAAAAGAATCGAAGAAATATAAGTCATTTGAAGAGTCTTTGTACAAAGCAGAATGATGAACTCCTTTTTGATCGGAAGTATGTATATTTGTTATAGCGTAAAATTTACCTTTCTTATATTTCAGATCATTTATTTCATCTCTCATTCGCCCATCTCATAAGTTGAAAGTTTGGGGTTGTATCAGATCCATATTTATCGAGAAAGATAATCATTTTTAAAAGTCGGTTTTTGTTCAAGTTCGTTTTGACAAAACCTACCTATGATTTGTTTTTGGTCTTGATAGATTAATTCATATGTCGGAGGTGATGTGGTGTTTACTTTATCAACGATGAATATTTCGTTTGCCCAGTATCCAACATAACCCTTTTCGAATTTGCTTTTATATTTAAAAATACGAACTCGATCTCCAACTTTAAATTTGGGTTTAATATTTAAATTATTTATTTCATTTTCGTAGTTATGTTGTGTGTTAATTGACTTTATAATATTTGGATTATTTGTGGCTTGTGTTGGCGTGACACCTATAGATGAATGAATTTTGTTATTGTATTCATCTACAACCTCTGGTAATATTTTAAGCCATTTTTGAGATTTCAATTCCGTGAACTTTTTGAATAATTTATTTTTTAGAGTTCTATTATATCTCTCAATAACTACAGCTTTACCTTCATTATGTGTGCTGTAAATTTCAAACCCAAGTGATTTCATATTTTTGTTATAAAATTCACTTCCTTTATCTACCCACAGTTTTTCTGGATGTCGTTTAGATTGTTTCATAATCGTTTGAAATGCGTGTTTGACTGATAATCCTGTTTTGATTTTCAAAGGAATAACCCATGCATTTCTCGTATACAAATCTATAACTGTTAAGCAATATTTAAATCCTCTTTCGTCTGGCATATTAATTATATCGGCTGACCATATTTCATCTTTTTCAAACACTTTGACTTTTAAAAAGTTTTTAGTTTTTCTAAATTCTTTACGAATTTCATCCGCTAATCCCATGCCCAATTTCATCTTTGCTTTTAACAGTTTTATGATTAGAGCCCTTTGCATTCTTTGAAAGTTGGATTTGGAATATTTTCAAGTTCGATTATCATTTGTCTGTCTGCTTCGTGTCTGAAGTTTATGTCTTTGTTTCTGTATAGTATGTCGTGTTAAAGCGCAGCGGCGTCAACTCTATTGACTGGTTCTTCACCGGGTTTGGGTTTATCGTTTTCGTCTAGTCGCAGATCTAACCTGGTACATGGACCAGTGTAATTATGACCGGGAAGATGTTTTTCTCCGGGATATTTTGCCCATGGAAATCCAGGAAGAGAACCCAATGATTTTTGTATATCTCCTGAACCAAAATAAGTTTTTGGAGCGTTACCGACAATCATTTTTTATCCTATAACTTTAAAACAGTTTCCTTTCCTTTCTTCTAATCTCCTGTTTCGCATATCTCTTATTAGTTGTAATTCTTTCAACTCGTCAGATTGTTTCACTGCGTCGCTTAAACTCTTTCCCGCTTGCGCGATTGAGCCGACGGCTTCAGCTTCAGATGAAATAAATGATTTGTTGTTTGAAACAAAGCTAGCTACTTTTGGAATTATTGTTTTACCTAGAGAAAATATTGATGAAAAGATGTCGAATAATCTTCGAATTTGTGTTGTTCGTGTTTTAGAATTAAACTCATCCTATTTTTAAATGAGTTAATTTAACGAAGAAATTGTGGTCTGTTTCTTTTTCCAAAAAAGAGTTATCTTCTTTCTAGAAGTTTCTACATTATTAAAACCGGATGTTAAGCGAAACAAGGATGTTATTTTATATAAGGGTATTTTTAATATGCTTTTTTGATGGAATGTAGGAATTGATTGAAGGTGTTTTTGGTGTAAGAATTTATGAAATGTAGGGTGTTTAGGTCTTTTTTGGTGTAAGAATTTATGAAATGTAGGGTGTTTAGGTCTTTTTTCTTTCAATATGGTCGCACTTTCCTCATGGAATGAAATGGAATGGGGAATCCCCTTGCGACCATATTGAAAGGTCTTATACTACTGGTACAGACTCATGTTACATGAGAGAATTGTTCAGAACTTTTCTCTATAGAAGACGCAGTGGCTGGTCGTGAGTCAATAGATTCAAAGTGTCATTTCGATGCTATTCGGATTACTGGGAGTGCAGTTTATTATGCCTTCGTTGTATCCCTTTCTAGTCATTGTATTATTTACATCGTATAAAATTGGACTCTTCGCTGATGAGAAGGCCATACTTGGAAATTGCTTTTCTTTACTAATTAAAAAAACCTGATCCAAAATGTGTCTTTTTAGATGTCAAGATGCCAGATATATGGTTCTGACTCCAAAGTCGATCCAGTCATGTGTTCCGTATTCATTTAGTGCCCGAGCCTTTGGCAACCATTCCTACACGTTGACGACGGAACTTCAACGTTCCTATCGCGCGACTACAATTTCTTCAATTACCACTGAAATATGTAAGTATTTGGTATTAGTTATAAGTTTATTACTCTCTAAAAGGCTAGCACAAATATATTTATTTCAAACTCAAGACTCTTGAGTTTTTCATCATTCTATACCACCATCATTCTATACCACCATCATTCTGTACCATCATTCTACACCACTACCATTCTGTACAACCATCATTCTATGCCAACACCATTCTATACAACCATCATTCTGAACCACCATAATTCTATACCACCATTCTACACCACTACCATTCTGTACAATCATCATTCTATGCCACCACCATTCTAAATGGGTAGCACAAATATATTTATCTCAAACTCAAGACTCAAGACTACCATCATTCTGTACCACCATCATACTGTACTAAATTCTATGCCACCATCATTCTATACCACCATCATTCTATACCACCATCATTCTGACCCACAATTATTCTATGCCACCATTCTATACCACCATTCTATACTACCATTCTATATACCACCATCCACCAGTTTTTAATTAAAAATTCTAGAATTATCACCCAGGTGAATGGTTGAATTAAAGATAGCTTGCCAGGCAAGGTAATATACGCCCACAGTCAGCTGTCAGAAAGCAGTCTTTAGTATTAGTCTTCATATTAAAGAATTTTTAATAGTTTGAATTCAATGATACATATATTTACTGCCAGTTATTTATGCTGAGAAATTCCACCAAATTTTTAAAAATCAATATCAATAACCCAAATACACCAAATTATCGCATCAATATATATGATCAAACCATGTGTCATCAAAATCAATTGAAAACTGTAGTCTCTAATGTGTTCACAAACCAATTTTCGTAAGTCAAGGGCAATAACTCAAAGACGGTTCATCGACAGATCGTCAAATTCAAACTTGTTCTATACAACCATCATTCTATACCACCATCATTCTATACCACCACCATTCTATACCATCAACACCATTCTATACCACAAATCTATACCAACAGTAAATAAATTTAAATTATATTCCAGTGCCAGGCGATACAAACACCATTACGTTACAGGTATGTTCTTTTTCAAGTTCTGCATGAACAATAACAATTATCTCAAAAGACTTTCGATTTCCAACTGATTTTGAAGGTTATTTTTAACTTTTTAACAAATAAAGTATGTAACAATTCTTTTTGTTTTACCTCGCAGTTTGCAATAAATTAACAAAAATAATGAAATAACGTAAATTGAAGATCCAAATTAGACTGTACGTGTATTTCATTTCCTATTATCTAACTAGGTTCCTTGTAATTTAAATTCTGATTATTATCTTATTCTGACGGGTACTGGTGAAACTACGTTTAATAATCGTCAATATCTGAGGATGTACAGCAGAGATATGGAAATCATCATACAAACTGATAAAAAGGTGTATAAACCAGGGCAAACAGGTACTACCTTCCTTAAAATGCTTATAAGAGGAATTTATACATCCAGCTAAACCAGATTTGGACCACGTGAAAATTCGTTTTGGTTGTTCATGTGTACTGCTTTTTTATCAAGTTTTCTTCACTTTTACTGGCAATAGGGGTATGAATTGTCTGAACTATTAGTGACACTCCTTTTGTTGTCCATGACAAATGTGCTCTGGTGAATCAATTCAATTCAGGTAAAATGATAAGTTTATATGATCTTTATTGTAGTAAAATATCGGGTATTTGGTGTTCGCTCGGATTTACAAGTGGTATGTTCTAATTATACCGTTACTGTCACAGTAAGTATATATCGTAATCTTAGGTTTAAGATGTGATAACTCAATTCTTTGCTTATGAAAGTACTAGATTTTGTTTCAGATCTGATTACATTTGCATAAGATGGTGTTGTAAATTTTGTATATGACTGATATCAGAGTTGATAGTGTAGTCCCGATCATCTGTAAAATTATATCATGAAATTATATCAGTGTTGTATGAGCGGTATTGTTGTTGTGTTAACAAATGCTTTTTAAGAAAGTTAATTTACTTTTCTACTGTTTATCATGCAGCGTATTGGACGACCGTTCGTTCCTGGTGCGTCCTTGGACATGTGACAAGTAACCTTATATGGAACTGGATCTCGTAAATCTGGAATGTAAAAATTTTCGACGAAAAATTAAATTCAACCGATTTTATATTTTTGTCTATCAAATTCACTCTATGAGTTTGAAATCATGATTTTATTTTCAAGGACCCCAAAGGAAACAAAATTCAGTTGTACACTTCTGTTGGAGATGACTATTGTATAGTTGAAAGGAATTTAAAGCTGCCGAAGGAACCAATATTTGGAGCATGGAAAATAAAAGCGTCAGTAGAGGTAAAAAAAAATTTCTCAATCTTGATGAAATAGATACATCACTGGACCAGTATTGGTTGGCAATTACTGTTTTGTCTTATTAAATTATTAATGTATCTGTAAAAATTTGTTTTATTAACGACAAAACTTATATCATTTGGTTAAAATAATTTCTATTCAGTTATGAAATTGGAATAGAAAAATAGTGTTGCTTATGTCACCTATCTGCTTAATTAACAAATTTATGGGAAGGGATGTGTAATTTCAAGTGATTTCCTGTGTGTTTCCTTGCCTTTTCGTTTGATCTATTATTTTTTTGTTTATATGTTGGTTAGATGAACATCTAGATTTCATGGTCTCCTAAATAAACGTAATATCTGTTATAACGTGCTTCCCTTTTTAACCATGTGATTTTGATTTGCATTTTCTTCTAACTGCACATCTTATTATTGTCTTCATGTTTTAATAATTATTTGTATAAATTCACAGAAAATGGAGCATACACAGACATTTAAAATTGAGAAATATGGTATGTATACAAATTATCAATTGTAATCATTATACTATCAATAAACTGAAATTTGTTATGTAATCATTATACTATCAATAAACTGAAATTTGTTATGTAAACATTATACTGTCAATAAACTGAAATTTGTTATGTAAACATTATACTATCAATAAACTGAAATTTGTTATATAAACATTATACTATCAATAAACTGAAATTTGTTTTGTAAACATTATACTATCAATAAACTGAAATTTGTTATGTAAACATTATACTATCAATTAACTGAAATTTGTTATGTAAACATATACTATCAATTATCTGAAATATGTTTTGTAAACAAATTATCAATAATCTGAAATATATTAAATTTTCATAAATCATCAATTATCTGAAATATGGTAGGTAGGTGTACACAAAGTATCAATAACCTGAAAAAATGTTAATAATTATCTGACATACATTTATGTAAACATATAGTACTATCAATTATCTGAAATTTGTGATGTATACAAAAATTACAAATAATCTGAAATATGATATTAATTATCTGAAATATGGTATGTATAAAAATTATAAAAAATCTGAAAAATGTTATTAGTTATCTAAAATATGGTATGTAAACATAAATATACTACCAGTTATCTGAAATTTGTTTAAACAATAACTGAATGTATATATAATATTATTTGACTAATTCCCGAGAAAGATCCTCTTTTCAACGAATTTCCATTGTTTTCTGATTGTATCGCAGATAGTTAATATTACAGGAAAACTCATGCTGCCTGCGGTATTTTTACATATATTAACACTATCTTGAACAAAACTGATGATTTATAGTAGCTGTAATCAACAGCATACTGACGTTGTCCATCGAGTAGAACAACTAGAAAAATTCAAAAAGATGTAAAGATGCAAAGCTTGTAAAACCCAGTTGCTGAATTGTCTTTTTTAGCTAAAACCGCCACAGTAATTACTTTATTCAAAGACTTCAGACGTTTTTTGGGACTTAAAGCATAAGAAGAATAGAGGAATGACCTTAAGATCAGTTAATCATATTATTAGTTTTCCTAGCAAGGTTCTTCACTCCATTGACTCACCCACAGTTTGCTTCCTTTCAAGTTTTACCTAAAGCTGAAGCTAAAGTTATAATGCCGTCTATTGTAAGTCAGAAGGATAACTCGATTACAGTACAAGTTTCATCTCAGTAAGTTTGTTACCTCATATTGATAGAGATATTAGACATCTGTTCATTATATCTTTATAGGTTGAACCATTTTGATATATAAGCCGTTTTAAAAATCCTTGTCAAAAATATAATGCCGAAAGTAGATACTGTAATTTCTTCTCTTTCTTTGAACTAATGCTCAAAGGGCGACATTTTCAGCAAAAAATAAACCCCTAAAAGCTATTTCCATGAAAAAATTGCCTTTTGAATACAAAAGATGAATGACCGACCAACTCCTCATTGCAATTGGATAGTTTGCATTGTGTTTTCTCTAGCTAAGAAAATTAACAATGGAGATAAGCTGGAGGATGTTAAAGATTGATTCCCTTATTTTCATTTATGAAAATGAAAATGCTAATACTTATGTGAATAGAAAGTAGAGGTGTTCTTATGACTTTGAAAGATACAAACTTGTCTCACTTGTCCATAATTAATTCACAATTAGCTAAATTAGAAGAGCATTACCAGCACAATTCCAATGAGTGACCGATCAAGAAAGGTCAAAAAGTCTTTTTTATTTATTCAGACTGTACATACTTTGACATTTATGATTTGTTAAAAATCTTAATTATATGCAATAAGAACATAATGATATGATTAAGAATACATGATAATTCATTAGAAACTCCAATTAATTCAAAAAATTGCTTAATTTGACAATAAAAAATAAGGAAACCCATCTTTAAGGACAGAATTAGAGAGAAATGGAATATAATACCACTTGAGCAAACAGGCCAGACAATATCTTGTCATGGAAAAAAGAAATTCGGACGATTTTTGCTGAATATGGTTGTTATATTGAGCATTAATTCAATCAAGGATGTAAAATTATAGTTATTATTTTCGGCATAATATTTTTTTTATAAGGAATATTAGAAAAAGCTGGATTCCAAAGATGTTCAACCTATAAAGCTGTAATTTGGTTAAGAGATGTCTAATATCCATATAAATATATATACCAGTATATAGAAGTTCTTTTTTCATGACTGAATTTGATTAATACATGTAGCTCTTCGCCTTCTGAAATCTTTGTAGATATACGTTTGGTAAGCCAGTAAATGGATCTGCTAGATTAAGGATAATTGTTAACTATTATCCTAAATGGAAATATCAAAAAGATCCAGATACAGGAAAATATGGTTACGTTGATCTGACCCAGCCTGAACTTATATATGACATGCAGGTAAATTCCAGTTACTCTCTACAGTTTTCGCATTTTTATAATACAATAAATAGTTTCGTTTCGTACTTAGTTATTTAAAGGGATTGTAAAGAGGCTTTCTAAAAATTTAGATGTGTATCAGGGATACTGATAGCACCAATTTGCACCATTCAATGTCACTAATCGCAAAGTATCCTTGTCTTTTACGATTACTGATGTCATAAAACACTTAGTTTTAGTGGAATTGCAGGAACAATAGACGCATGACTGGAAATTAAAATTGTTCAAGTTGATTCTATCACTGACCTCGATACACATAAATTGTTAAGAGAACCTCTTTACAACCCCAAGTCATTAGACTTAAAACAATACAGACTGAACACCCTTTTATAGCATTATTAACAAGAAATGATGGCAAAACTATATGGCAAAAGATAATAGCATCAAAATCATGTTTATTTAAGAAAACACAGTTTATTTTAAAACAAGGAAAAGGCAGATTGTTCATTGTTTTACTACATGATCTGAAAAAGAGGGTGTATTGAATATGCATTATTTTTTGCTTGACAATTTGATACATATATCAATACACTTAATTTTGTTTAAGAAAATCATTAAAGGCAACATATTGTTGTTTTCTTTTTGGTTAATTAAAAGATCGAAGCTTGCAAATACAAAATACAATCGGCAGTGATTTTGATGGAATTCAAACTGAGAGTCAGCTTCTTGTTGTCAATTAACCACGAAAACAATCTAGTATTAACAGAGAGAGAACAGACTTCTTAGGGTGTACATTAGAGTTGTTACCTCTGTTATACTTTACATACCTAGTCAAGTTCCCTTGCACTTCAAAATATTACAAGTTTTAAAGAAGAAAAGAACATTCTAGGTATCATTTTGTAAACGAACAGACAATACCGGTACTAAAAAAAGTCACAAACAACAATAATTTTACAGGCAGCACATTTTGTGTGGATTAAACATCGAATACAACTTTCATCCTGATTTCTTGAACCAGAGTAATAATACTTTTTGAGCAGATCTACACTAGACTATTTCTCGTCAGTGAAGTCTGGTCAGGTAAATATTATATGTTCATGCTCTCTTTGAATATTTACAGGTTGATTAAATGTCTTTTTTTTAGTTGGATGAAAATGGGAAAGGTACTACTGTTATTACAACAGAAGAATTAAAGACAATAGCCTATAGAGGATATCTTTCCTACAAGACAATAATTGGTCAAGTAAATGTGACTGATGACGCAACTGAAGCGACGTACATCTCTCCAACTAGTCAAATTTCGGTGACTAGGACTAGAGAAAAGTTAAGCTTTGTTCCAAATCCACATAACTATAAGCCTGCACTAGTTAACAGATTCTATGTAAGTTTTGCGTTGGGTGTAAAATTCAGAATTCATTGTGTTTTGCTAACGAATTACTTTTAGTTTGAAAATTGAGGGCCTGGTTAATTTGATATTATTTTGTACTGTATGTTGTAACTGATGAAAGTAACCACAGTGTAATTTGATCTCGATATGTCATATTTACATTCCAAAAAGGAAAATCTAGTGGAAATCTAGTAATCTATAGCATTTCGCTAGAAGGAATGGTTTGAATTTTACTAAAAAGTACCTGAATTTTTAATAAAAATATGCTATCAGTCTCGAGGCAATCCGTGACCTAATAAGTTAGTCCATTGTGTAGCACGAACTTTACAGCTAGTTATTTAATACTATGACCCTTAATGATGAAATGATTGCGCTCGACGATGTCACAATTGTAAATGTAATAGAGGTTTTCCCTTTTCAGATTGAACTCAAGCAGATTGATGGCAAACCAGTTTTGAAACCAGGTAATATTATTGTCAGTGCCAGGGTTAAAATCCTCATACCAGAAGAACCAGCTACAGAACCACCACCACCACCATCCGAGAACTCGGACCACTCATCCACGCCGCAATATTCTACAACTCCTGGCTGGGGCTATGGTCTCTATGGCTCCCAGCCTTGGTGGTATGACCCTAACTGTAAGGATCCACAATATAGATATGAAAATTTACCAGTAAAAAATTTGACTGTACCAGCTAACGGATTAGTGACGTATGATTTATTGGTGAATGAAACCGATTCTGTTGAGGTTTATCTAAAGGTAAGACAATCTAGCGTTATTATTTCTGTGAAAAAGAAATAGTAGTAATATTAGAATACAATATTTGATCACATGCTTACAATTACAACTTTCAGCATAAATTTTAATATTTATTTCTATATGGCAAATGTACAGTCGTCCACACAAAGAATTTTTTCTGCATTTTGTTTTATTGACTGTCGCAATTTTAGTCTGGTTAGGCCAGTTGATTAGAAAGTTACATGAATAACTGAAACTGAAAAAATATTTAGACGACTATATCAGATTATAAATATGTAGATCATTCTACTGGTAAACAATCTGACAATCCGATGCTCTGGCATAACAGCACAAAACATTTTATATAGATAAAACATTTTGAGAATTGGCAATTATTGGATGAACAGTAATATGGTCGGTTGATCTTCGGTTGCCAATTGAATTTACTTTTGATTAATCCTGGATTCTGATCTTGAAATAGAAACTATTGAAAACTTTTCAGACAAGCTTGTATCATTACACAAGTATCTGTTTTCTGCTTCGAGGACCATATCAATATAAATCTTAACTGTCTTTTAGCTTAAATCATTTAATGAATATTTGAAATTCGGGGTTTCACTCTTATGCTATCTTGCCTTAATACTCTCTTTATTAATTGATTTTATAGGTAAATTATGTAGAAGATACTGACGTATATACATCAAGGACTCTAACATCTTTCAAATCCCCGAGCAACACATTCTTGTCTGTCTCTCTTAAAACTAACAAACCAGCGTCTGGACAAAAAGTTAACCTCGAACTCAAAGCTACTCGAGAATTTAGCAGAGTTTATTACACAGTAAGTAATAGAGTCCAGGTTAGTAATAAAGAGTGGAAGAGTTATATAAGAACCTGTGAGATAACCGCTTTATTATCTCGGATAATTATCTAATTTTGGTGACTTCAAATATGAAATTCAATGTAGATTAACGTCTGATTTTATATAAAATGTAAGCTTGAGTTAAAAAGTAGATATAGATTTTAACACTAAACACCGGGAACACCGAGAAGTTTTATCAGGTCTAAATTAAAACACTAAGAAAATTAAGTGTTAAACAGTTAGTATGAACATATAAAAATGTAGCATGGATATATTATATACTATATATATATATATTAATATACAGACAAGGAAAGCCAAATTAACTACGACAAGAATAACTCTATAATCTATAACATTTTGTCAGCTGTTAGAAATCCATGCATGCGTGAGTGTTGAATTAATGAATTCTATCGGTTGTTCTTCCAACAAGATCTATGATTAAACATGTGGATAAACTGTCATTTTGTTTTACAGATTCTGTCTCGAGGGGTGCTGATAACAGAAAATTACCAAGATTTCAGTACAACAAGTAAATCTCAAATTCTCAGCTTTTCCGTAACTAGCGATATGGCACCAAAGCTTAAAATCATAGTATTTATTAGAGTGGAAGATAAAGAAATTGTTGCTGATGCTATCTCATTTAATGTTGAGGGATTTTACAATAACAAGGTGAGAATCGGGTATACAGAATATTTACCTCGTTTTTATCACCTATTGAGCAGTTGTTGCTGACTACGAGTAGAATTTTTCCATTGTGGTGACAAGCTAGGGTCTGTATTAGCAATTCTTGAAATCAAGCTCAAAAACATGTTGTACATCATTGTAAATTTCTATTATCTTAGGTATCATTAATGTTCGATTCGGATAAAGTAGAAACTGGATCCATATCAACTCTCAGTGTTAAAGCTTACAGCAATTCTAATGTATATGCTGTAGCTGTTGATAAAAGCACCACTTTACTTGGGGAAGCATCAGATGATTTCAGCCAAGAGGTGAGTCACATGAAATTTCCGCCTCATCTAGATGATACCACGATAAGTATTAGACAATAAATATAATTATGTAAATAGTTTTCAAAAGTACTAAAAATATACAAATATCGCATAATTCCTTTAAAATTATCTTAAGCTAGGAATTTCTTTTTCTATTCTATAGATGTCTTTTCTATATATAACAGTGTCTCAAGAAAAGACGACTCGTCTTTTTAACTCGGATATTTCTGGACAAAGGCTAAAATTTCGACCATGAGCAGTGAGGACATTTATTGATTGGCTTAGCTTAAAAAAAACTAAGCTGAGACTAAGGTATGATTGGTAATATGACTTAGTGTGATCTCTGCATCGATTTAAGTTTCCAGGACCCAGAAAATGAATGCCAACTATAACCAATTCCAGTTACCTAATCTTATGATAAGATGACTATATTTCTTAAAATCATGTTGACAAAGTCAAACTTGTTTTCAAATGTTTAATTATGAAGAGTGTTGTTGTGGTATAAGATCTACAAGAGAGTTTTGACAAACTTCCTATATTTTATATTTTAGGTTGAAGGATTCTTAGCAGTTGGTGGTGGGAATTATTATAGAAAGAAGAGGGAAGCTCTCTTTAGAAAGAGGCGTGAATCTGAAAAACGTTCTCGTACTAAACGATCAGTATGGTGGCCATACACTTATAGAACATATGGGATCGATGTTGATGATATGTTCAGAGTAGGTTATATTATGATTATAATTGCTTTTTAGTAAGTTAAAAGGACGATCATATTGGGTGTTGGATAATTTGCTCTTGCCCATTTTTTCCAAACTGTTGTTTCGTATTTTTCTTTATACTGTTCGGATCGTGAGGGGAGGGGGTATTGTTCATTTCAATTGTAATACATATTAAGCTACCGTCATAGATTTTCAAATCTAACGTTTCTATCTTTCTTGAATAGTATACTGGTTTAAATGTTATATCTGATGCTTTGGTCTATATATATCAACAACCAGAGCCATGTCGGCGTTTTTATGGTAAATGTGTATATTCTCTTTTAAAATGTCAACACTAAACTGAAAATCCCTAATATCAGCATAGGAGACAAAAAAAAGGGGTATAGTACATTGTTGTCGGATACAGTCAGATTTCTGGCTTTACGATGGTTCCGAATTTCTTCTAAATCTGTTTGGTTGAATTTACTGTGGATCGTTTAGGACATGAATTATAATTTATTTATTTTTATTTTCACCTTTTTGTTTAATAGCAACTTTTGGCTCTTGAATTACGATATACAGTATTCCGTAAATGGTAAATGTATAAAATAAGATCAAATTCTGAAAACAAAGTTTGGATTAACTTAAATCATAATTTCAATGAATTTCTGAACATGTAGAACTAAATCAGAATTTGAATTTCCTATCTAATTCAACCTGTCCATATCTTTGAGGAAATGATTTGATCTTCTGGGTGTCAGATGTCATGAATCTGGACAATTTGATAAAGTATTCATATAATAGCTGACACGCCATAAAAAATATAAATGATGGTTTCATACATTCATTACCTCAGCAATATAACTCTTTAATACTCGTACAGGACCACGAGCTGGGACATCAGCTACTGAGGGTCCACAACAATTACCACCAGGGCAGGCTCCCGATGTTGCATCCAGAAATTCTGATGAGGAAGATTCTGCTAGATCATACTTTCCAGAAACATGGATTTGGGACTCACAAAATGCTGGGTTAGATATTATTTTATTATTTTATAACAAGTCTATAGAAGGTTCACTGGTATAAAATCAAAACCCATCTGCAAAAAGGATATCTTACCCGCTTTATTTTGTATACGTGAAGGTAAGAGTTTTGTTTCCGGAGGGTTAAAAAAAAGATACCACGGAACTAAAGCATTTTGTTACATCGAGCTCCACACTGAATATAGACAGATAAATTGCAGTAGATTGGTTTTATAATTTATATAGATCTTTCATGATCTATTACAGCTCTATAGGGATCGCCAACTTCACATTAAAAGTACCAGACACTATCACAACGTGGGTTGCCAGTGCTTTTGCTATCAGTCTAAATCCCTTAATTGGAGTTGGTATGACGTCAGACGTTGCTGAGGTGAGTATAAATTTTCAAACAAATAAATAATTACTAAGATAATATCTGGTGGCCCAGAAAAAACACATTAATACTCTTCAATTCAGGATTTTTCATAAAGTATCAAAGCTATGATTATAATATTTTGACCTCATATTTTTAGTGATATGAGACATATTTTTATCAAATTACAGCTTTATATTGGGGTGAACAGCTTTCGAATACCAGCTTTTTCAAAATTCCTTGTAAAATTATATTATGCTGAAAATAATTACTATAATTTCACATCCTTAGTTGAATAAATGCTCAATATAACAACCATTTCAGCAAAAATCGCCCGAATTCTTGCCTTGAATATTGCCTTTCTGGTTTATCCAAGTAGTATTTTGTTAGATTTCCCTCAAATTCTATCCTTCAATTCCTCCAGCTAGAGAAAAAAAACCTGTAAACCATTTCATTGTAATCGGGAGTTTTAGGGTTTCCATTCATCTTTTGTGTAAGGAATACTCCAATTTTCAAAATTTGCATGGTAAAGGCTTTTTTGTGTATTTTCTGAAAATGTCGACTTCATTGGGCAATAGTTCAGTGAAAGAGGAGACATAAATATTTTTTTCGACTTTTTCATTATTTCACAAGGCATTTTAAAAAGGTTGATCGAGGACTAACGTACAATCCATCCAAATCTCGGGTATGAAACGAAGCTTGACATTGTGAAGATGCTGTTGATGATACTTCTTGTCTTACAGCTGACAGAGTTTTTTGTGATGTTAAATCTGCCCTATTCTGTTGTTAGAGGAGAAGAACTGGTTATAAAAGCCAATGTTTTTAACTATCTTGGTTTTAATACAGAGGTTTGTATATTGGCTTGGTTATGGCAAAATAGACATAAAACATACATTGCTTAATATAAATCCACGAACCAGTACGATAGTGGAGTACGTCAAGACCGGCATGCAGTTTTTGTCGAAAACCATTTTCAATATCGGATGAGGTTCACTCTTTTCTTTAAATTTCGAAATCGTTGAAACTTTCAAAGTTGTAAGTTGATCTCGTTTATTATATACCAACATACAAAGTTTATAAAATGGGTTGAAAATTAAAGAAACTATTGCATTTTCACTATTACGGATCATGAGAGTTCAAATTCATAACTGTCGCAAACAAATCATGCTCTTACCTCATCAAAAAGTCATCAAAAATGAAAAGAAATGAATGTATGAAGTTTTACGTCCTACTTTTCTGAACCATGTGGACTAATGAAGACGGGCAACGCCATGAAAAAGTCATCAAAAATTAATAATTGTAAATATTTCATGATACCAGATACCATGTCCGTTTAACTAATTGTATAGTAGTGGACTCCTCCAAAGAGAAGTACCATAAGGTGTTTCGAAAAATATTGATGCTCCAAAAATCGATACCACTTTTGTTGCTGGGATTACAAACTGTGCTATAATTTCAAGAGATCTCAACGGCTGCATAAATATGTGTTTCTATCAGCCCGACATACAGCAGCATTGTTTATAACCTTTAATATGTCTTCAGGCTGAAGTAATGTTAGAGAATCCAAAAGGATTTGTTATTATTCAAGTTGATGCTGACGGATTTGAAGTCGAGTCCATGGTAACAGAGACCACAAGAATAAACGTAAGTTAATTTATAAATTCCTTCCAAATAATCAATGCTAATGATTGGACTTGATTCTTTAAATATGTATAACCTCGTTTATTTTAGGTACCTATAGATGGAGCTGCTACTGCTTATTTTACTGTTAGATTTCTGGAAGTTGGATATATCGATCTACAGGTTTATGCGCGAACTGTTACATTACAAGCTGGTGACAGGATTTTGAAGCCAATGTTCGTTGAGGTAAGCTATTTTGTGGTTGAATATATCAAAACAATGATTATAGAATTGTAATGTGTTAAATGATTTTATGGGTTATTGAATTATTAGAAAAACACATTCCTTCGTATAGGCCAACATCAGAACCAAACTCAATAGCTAAGATTTGTCACCTCTTGTAAATGAATCTGTACTGACAGTCGGGTGTTGTTTTGTGTAAAGTGTTTCGTATTAATTTCCTCAATATCTTTCTACCCCCTGAAACATGCACCTAGTCTTTTTTATACGCCTACATGAAATGGGGAGGGGGAGGGGTTGTTGTCACCCATGTCGTCCCTAGAAAAAGATCAAAAGAAGAGTATAACTGAAGGTTGAATATTTCATGGTGATCATGTTCGGGGTGTGTAAGTGACGGAATTGACTGAGTCTCTTTATCAAAATTATTGGATTTATTAACAGGCTTCAATCGTTACATAATACTCCATCAAACTGAAAAATATTGAATAAAAACACTTAGTCTTTAGCTTAGTAAAGAAAAATGATTTAACTTATAAATTAAATTATATAAATGCGGAAAATTGGCGAAGAGGGGTGGGCACTTAAATCCAATCTAGGGTTGGACAGGTTCGGATTATTCCAAATTTCTCGCAAAACGCTATTAATTGATAATATAACAAATAAATGTATAAGGTATGCAATACAGACTAACCGGAGGTGTGAACATAACATATTATACACAAATAAAAACCAACTAAAACCTTTTCCCCGACTAATGGAGCTTTATTACAAGCTATCTTTTCGGTTGTTGGTATATCACCGTTATTATTTAGATCGCAATTTTTAAACAATTTCTTTATAGGTTGAAGGAATACCACAAGAATACAATGAAGTAGTGATTGTAGAATTGGTTGAACAGAATTATTTCAATAGAAGCGTAGAAGTAATGTTGTACCAGATTCAGAAAAAGTTGTCGTTACTGCTTATGGTATATACCTTATCTCACTATTGAATAATTGAGTCAATTATTTTCAGTTTGATAATGTGTTCAAAGAAATGTCTAGCATATATAACTGTATTTACATATTTAAAGGGACATGTTCGCCAATTTCGGGGGTTGAAATGGGCCTGGAATATATTTAAATAGTCTTTAGAAGTTCTAGAGATGTACAAAAATCGCTTAATTCCTTCATTTAACTATGAATTTCAATTTCTATTTCTATATATGTCTTTTCTATATATATGTATATATGGCAGAGTCTCATTTTACCTTTCAAGCTCGGATAATTCTGGACACACATGGATTTAAAGAAAACTATTACTGATTAGTTTATCTAGTCAAACATTTTGTCATGGATAAAATCATTCGGCAATCCTCGACAGTTTCCATAAAGCAGAATCTGTCTTGGTAATGAATGGTGAATTTCGTAACGTCTTCTTGGGCAAAACTCTTTACTTCCGGTATTTAGCGGTGATTTGTCAAATGATCGTAATATGGCAACCTAAATACAGTCCCTAACTTTAGAACTCTTTGGAGATTTACCTGACAATCACTATTGCATTTAATGTTATATTGTGGCCATCATATCATCAGTTTAAATCCATATCTTATAAAGTTTTTTGGCTTTATAGTTGTTTACAATCAATTGTAGTCCCGAACGACCAGTATAATATTTAAACTACCAGAATCACGTAGATCACGTGACAATATTGGCATAGCTCCGGCAAAATATGGCAAATACTTCACACATTTGATCGGAATATTATGTAACTTCTGAAATCGAAGCTGTAATTCTAATTGCTCACTACATGTTGTCAATGTAGAAGTGCTGCTTATTGTTATTTGTAGGAGATCCACTAAGCTCGGCTCTACAGGATATTGAAAAACGGATCAAAAGGCCATATGGTTGTGGAGAACAGAATATGATCAACTTTGTACCCAATATTTATATCTGGGCATATCTTCATTGTACTGGACAATTGACACCGGCTATACAAACCAAAATAAAGAATTATTTAGAAATTGGTATGTAAATATCTACATTAAACATTGTGACCACTCGATATGGTAATGACTGATGGACGTGTTTATAACCTGTTGTAACAATTCAGTTGTATTACCTCTTTTGTATTTACTCTACTGTATTAACTCTACTGTATTAACTCTATTTATCAAAGATGGGTTCCCTTATTTTCATTTATGAAAATGAAAAACTAATACTTAAATGAATAGAAAGAAGAGGTGTTCTATTGATTTGAAAAATACCACTTTGTCTCACATGGCCATCTCTAAAACATAATCATCCAAATTAGAAGAGAATTACCAGCAGCATTCTAATGAGTGACCGATCAAGAAAGGTCATAACGTCTTTTTTTGTTTATCCAGACACATATACATTTATGATTTGTTAAAACTCTTAATAATATGCAATAAGAACATAATGAGATGATTAAGAATGGACCAGCATGATAATTCATTAGAAACAATCAAATAGTTTGCTTAATTTGACACTAAAAAATAAGGAAACCCATTTTTAACTGTACTGTATAAACTCTACTGTATTAACTATACTGTATTAACTCTACTCTATAAACTCTATTATATTACTTCTACTCTATCAGTTTTACTGCATTAACTCTACTGTATTAACTCTACTTCATCAACTCTATTATTTTAACTCTACTGTGTTAACTCTACTGAATTATCTTTACTGTATCAAGTCTATTGTATTGACTCTATTTTATTATCTCTACTGTATCAACTCTATTGTATTAACTCTTTTAAAGGTTACAGTGGAGAAATGAGATATCAACGAAATGATTATTCATTCAGTGCGTTTGGTACAGAGATAGCTCTGGTAGTCAATGGTGAGTGTAAATCGTGCTTATCTAGAATACATTATTTTGAGGTGAAATAAATAGTAATTAAACTGCATTAGTCATACTTATATTGACGTTTTTCAAAACTGACTTGACTTTATTACCACCGAAATACTCAGAAGTGGTTATCTATTGATGGAACTGATAGCTTTGGTCATTTGGATTTGTACCCTTTCGTTATGAAGTTATCAATTCTTGATTTCGAAAGATTTACTAAGCTTCATTTGCTCTCAATATGTATTTTGATTTGTAGGCTAACAGCCTATGTAGTAAGAACATTCAGTGAAGCTCGTCAATACATCTATGTTGATGAAAAAATATTAGAGTATGCTGTTAATTACTTGATAAATAATCAGAATGAAGACGGTACCTTTAATGAATCTGGCCGTGTTTTTAGTAAAGCATTAAAGGTATGTTTAAATTATATAAAGAAAATTTGAACTGATGTCAGGAGTATAAAAGCAAAGCAGTGTAAGTATTTACATTTTATCATTGATTGTATATTAGAAATTGTTTAGAATAATAACCTTCAGAGGCCACATACCTTTTTTCATAATTAGCTGACATTTACTCAAATTTGAAACCAAGGCTCTGGGAATATCAAATCTGGCAACTCATTTCATAAATTTCATATTACATTAGCACTTGTTTAAGATCCTCTATATAGCAAAGGAAAAATAGTATTATTCTATTCCTTACTAGCAACATAGCTTTAATCTTAAAGTTTTACCTTTTCTTTGTGTGAGGGGCATAATGAATTCGAGTAAAATTAAGCTGAGCATAGGAAATGTTTTGTGGCCCTGGGACCGGAGATGACTGTTTTGAGCAATGTTGATCTTCAACAAATCGAGTAACAAAAGGTTCGTTCAGTTTAATGAACCTGGTCATGTGACTCATAAAGAATTAAAGGTATGAATTAAAGGTATATTGCACCTATATTAACAAAATTTCCAAAATTTTAGACGTATAAAAGCAAAGGAGTGATGGCAAGTATGACCATTTTATCATTGATTGGTGTCAAATTGAACTTTTGTATTATAAGACAGTGTTACGAATATTAATGAACATTTTACGGCGGACGTTATTTATATAAGATCAGAGTTGACTGTTTTAGCCCATGGTGATTTCCAGTGATTCAGTTGAATTCAAATACAGTGTTATTTAGATTTTTGAAGTGAGTTTGAAATATAGAATAACAGAATCGTATCTTTCCTGCCAACATGATTTAGATGTTGAGGGACAATGGATATATTTGAGCGATAATTAGTTTGATATGGTAATACAATACTTTTACTTGACCCAATAGCTGTTAATATTTCAACGTTTTGACTTTTTTGTAGGGCAGTTCATTTGAAGGAAATGGTTTGAATGCCTTTATTTTGATTGCTCTTTCTGAAGTTTCTGAAATAATGCAGGTAAATATAAAGTGGTGTAGTCACTTGATCATTCCTAGATTCACCAACTAACTGAAACTTCACAAAATTAGACAAATTAGACATCTGGTGAATAACCCTACTGCATTCCACCCAACTGCAAAGCAATTATTATCAGCAGGCTTTAATTGCTGATAAAACTTCCGTTTAAATAAATATGCTTTTGTAAAAATGTAAAAAGGGTTAAAAACAGATCTCATGAAAAAAAATATATACTACCTATGCTGGTAAAAAAATTATAGCCAACCCCTAATGGCATACTTTACTCTCGTCAGCACTAATTGCTGAGCAAACCGTATTAATAGAATAAGAAATTATCAAATTCCAAATATAGGTTCGGGGAGACTTACTCTTTTCATCCATATACAAGGACAAATTCTTCCAGGCAGGCATATAGTCTTCACTTGATCGAACTGTATATACCTATCACGAAAACAATCCGCATCCTTGTCGGTTGCGATTCATTATCTTTGAGAATCTTTTCTGTAAATTTGCGTACATCAATATTTTTGTGCTGCATTTTTCTTGAATATTATTATATTGTATACACACTTTCGATTTTAAAAAACCCTGTTTTCCTTTAGGGGCAATTACATTTTGCTAACAGCATACACATGTCTATTCAACAACTAGAAACAGCATCTAAAACAATGACCAACATATATGATCTCGCTATTACGGCTTATGCTTTATATGTAGTTGGAAGTACGAAGTCATCAAATATCTTACAGAAGCTGGAATCTATACAAACCACTGAAGGTAAAAGCCCATTAATGTTTTAGCGACGAGTATTCCGAGTTGGATTTGAATGATCTTATGGTTCTGTTTTTATTTTGTTTTGTTTTTTTGTCTGAACCTTATCGGTGTATCTACAAAGATTGTGTTTCCTTTTTTCCGATGACATTTGAAGAGAAATATTCAACTAAATTTTATTTCATCCACCCGCATCACCAACGGTTCATCGAACGAACTGATATCACTATTTACATCATCTGCTCACGTGTTTTTAATATTGACCATAAAGTATATCCAATTAATGGACCTATTCCTTTTTCATGAAATCTTTATATCATTCACCAAATCTTTGAAGATTAATATTATCAAGCTCTTAATCTGTTTAAATACTGTGTGTTCTCTTTGTATAACTATATATTAAAATCATCATTTTGTAGATGGTATGGTATATTGGGAAGTTGTTATTGAGGCTGACAGAGTTCAGTATTACTGGAATCCACCACACAAACAAAGTAGTCCGGTTAATATTGAGACTGCTGCTTATGTTTTACTTACTTACTCTAAAATGGGAGAAAAAGAAAAAGGTATACCTATAATGAAGTGGTTACTTTCACAACAAAACAGCAATGGTGGTTACTCCTCTACGCAGGTAATTATTGACAAAAACGTACAGGCTTTTGATTAACATATTATAATCTAAATTTAGTATGTATAGATAATAGCAAATTACATCGAACAACAATTTACAGTAACAAAGCAAATGAAGAGAATGACACACTTTTGTTTCAGGATACAGTGGTAGCACTTCAAGCTTTGTCACAATTTGCTTGTCTATTACATGGTGGAAGTTACGATATAACTCTAAATGTATTTGCAAGCAGACAAAGTAGAACATGGACTATATCAAAGACTTCCAGTGTATTTAAATGGGAGGTAAGTTCCTTCACTCAAATAACACAGAAGATACTGTTTGAAGTACCCACCTTAAAGTCCGTTCTGTGCATTGATACACAGACGTGCCTTCTGGTAGAATTCCGGCATGGACGTTAACACGCGATTTTACTTTTCGCACTGGCTATTTGCACCGTCACTGTGCTTGTTCTCTATGGCTACTAACAACGGTAAGACACAATAAGCGCGCTATTTTTGGGTTTTTATACGCCCACAAATATATTTCGGGCGTATATTTTAATCACCCTGGCGATCCGTTCACATTTGGTTCGTGCTCACTCTCAGGCTACAATTCTTTACAGATTCTTTTGAATTTTATTTTGTAGGTCTTTGTCATTATGAGGATGATCCCTATTGATTTTCGTGATGAACGGATAATTTTTCACCGAAATATCGTGTATGACTAAGCGTTATCATTCTATTGCCTATATTGTGAATCTCGTGCTCACTCTACAGGCTACAATTCTTTATGGATTTTTTTGATTTTTTTTGTAGGTCAATGTCATTATGAAGATGATCACCAACATGTCGTATTCAACTTATCTATCTTTTTTAAAAGAGTGAGGCAATTTTGATTGTCAAGAATGATATTAAGTGACTTTGTTAGGGTTAGGTAGGGATGGCCATATGTTTTCTAATGCCGATGTTTGTACCGTCGCGGTACGAATAGCCTTGGCCTTTTTTATTCAAATAAAAATATCTCTATTATTAATTGTCATTTCAGACTCGTGAAACCACTGATAGTATTGATATCGAGGCTTCAGGTACCGGTAGTGGAATCGTCATGGTATGTTGAATTTATGAATTATATCAATGATAAAATAGATATTGTCAGTTATTATTGGGATAAATATTGTCAAATTCAGCATCCATATTGTATATCAAAATCCGAAAAAGGGTTTTAAAATCCTACACCATTTATTATAATCTTGTATTTCATTTTTTCTGTTTTTAAAATGTTTTTTCGAAATTGTCTTCCAGATAACTGTAAAATATAACATTGAAGAACTGGTAGTCCAATCGACTTGGGGGCTCAGTGTCGTAACAGAATCTGAAACTTTGGAAGTTCTCGTGATCAAAGTTTGTTTTGAGTAAGATATCTTTTGACCACATTCATGAACAAATGTATATAGTTGTTTTAAAAGGATAGAGTCTCTAAATTCCTTGGTATATCTGTTTACACATTACTGCCACAAAGGACCAATTATAGAATATTTAGACGACCATATCTTTCTTACACCAGATTAAAAACATGAAATCATATCCATTGAAAGTATGCTCCAGCCTCCAGATTTTTCAAAATTTTTAAAAATAGTCCAATTTACAAATTTGTTTCACCATAGAACTTTATACAACCAGTGAGAGCTGTTTCTTTTTTCAGCTGGAAAGTTCTTAACCAGTCAAGTGGGATGGCAATATTAGAAACCGTTTTAATCAGTGGTTTTCGAGTAGACGATTCTCAGCTTCAAAATAATAAACTTATAAAGAGGATGGAATCAGACCAAAGAAAATTCATTCTCTATTTCGATGAGGTGATTATCTTTATATTATTAAAATAACAAACGGTCTGCAACCCCCCAAAAATTCATCAAATTACTTGATCAAACCTTTACATGTTCAGCGAATCAAAGTCACATGAAAACACCTTCATCCTGGTTTGAAAACATACAATTGAGACTTTGCTGGTGTAATGCAAAGTTTTAGATCAGTGCTTCTCAATCTTTATGATCCACTTCCCCCAATACTATAAAACATCAAAAAAAACCTAAAAATTGAAACTTGCTTGATAGGCAATAGAAATGTCACCAGGTCCAGTGAGAATAGACGTTGATCGCCAAGTTCAGACTGTCTTGTTTTATTTTGTCAAGATATCTGCTACATCACATTCCACGAAGATACGAAGTGGAGAACAGTTTTGTGATCAAATTTGTTTTGTTGATTTATTGTATTTGTATATGTTATCGCGATGTCGACCACAAAACTTTTTAATTCAATACAATATTTATAATGATTATAATCAAATTGGTATTTCATTTGTTTGTAGGTTGGGAATACACCAATGTGTTTAAAACTAAGACTAATAAAAGGTGAAGTTGTTGGAAAAGTGAAACCAGGTTTTGTTACTATAACAGATTATTATAATCCGGAGAATAGTGTTACAGTCTCCTACAAGTCATCTATAGGTGAAAATGCTCCGGTTTGTGCTCTGTGTCCACAAGGAGTCTGTGGTGAATGTAAGGTAAAATATCTATTTTCTTTAAGCTGACTTACAAGAGCAAATAAACGGAAGCGTATTAGGGTCATTCATTTTTTTTTTTTTTTTTTTGAATTTTCAAGTTAGTATGTTGAATTTTCAATTTTCAAGTTAGTATCTTGAACATAGTAACTTGAATTTTCAACAGGGCCTTTTTCTTCTGACTCTACTCCAGCCGACAACTGTCAAAATATCCACCAGAGGCTGGAATAGAGGCAGATGTTTCGAACTAACTTTTGCAATGAGCTTGTTTGTTTCAGTTTTCTTTACACAAAAATGTATCTAAATTTCGGCACATTTTGTCCCCTTTAACATCTCGTGTGTAGGACTGTGTGTCAAATAAGAGGAGGAATTGTTAATTTGTTTATTTTTATTATTCTGTGTATACGTTGTAACTCTTTCAAATTCATTTTTTTGTGATATTTTCAGGTTGGTAAGAAGAGATAGATATAATGTTAATGTAATGATATAATTTCCTAAAACATAATCTATATTGACAATAAATTATTCTGCATCCCAGTTGTTCTTTTATGTTATGTATGTAATTGTCCTAAAGAGACTTCATACCGGATACCTGGATTACAATGTAGATTGTAGAGTAGACCCCTCCTAGAGTTATTCAATGCTATGTAGTGTAGTGAATCATGGCCGCAGCAAAAGCCCACTTCTTTTCTATTTCCAACTCTCTTTAACGTGTAACGCCTGAATTCATGACCATAAAGTCATTATTCTTCAATATCAAAATGACTAACATGTGTTTATCTTATTCCTAGATGAACACTTACAATTCTCGGCCTGAAACGTTTATATGCTATGTGATGGCAAAACTTCTTCTTGATGAAGATTAACGTGACCACGTTGTGACGATTTTAACACGTGTCTCTCAAGGAAACTATTCATAGAAACATAACATCCAGAAGATTTTGTTTCTAATATATTAAAGTGATTGTAAAGAGGTTTTCTAAATTTTGTATTTGTATGGGCGGCAATGATAGCATCAATTTGCGCCATTCCAATTTTCAATCAGACGTCTGTGGTTCTAGCAATTTTACTAAAACTAAGTGTTTTATGACGTCACCCCCACAAAGTTCTTAATATGTGATACATGCAAATTTCGCGGGGATGACGTCATATAAAACCTAGTTTTAATGGAATTACAGGACCTACAGACGTCTGATTGAAAATTGGAATGGTGCAAATAGATGCTAACAGTGTCCCTGAAACGTATAACAAATTTAGAAAACCTCTTTACAATCCCTTTAGATAATAAATATACTCTTCGGTCTAAGGTTGAATGTTGAAGAGATGATGTTTAGTTGAAAGAACTTATATTCTCGTCGATAGCTGAGGTTTTCATTGCGGAACGAATATAAGTATAACTCAGAGATTTAATGGTGAAAGTAGGTTGATCTTCTCTCTGGAGCACCTGTCCGTTCCCCGGTAAAATGGTATAACAGAGCTGTTCAGCATCTTCCCAATTGCAGATAAACAGAAATATAATTTATCTGAATGGATGTCGGGAAGAAAATTTTCCAAAGACACAAATTTGTGTCAAATGAGACAAAATGGGGACAAGGGTGTCTCTCAATAAAAATTGTTTTTCGTTTGAGGAAAGAAATAATATACCAGGCCTTCTTATAATTATAAAACTGGAAACATATTATATAATTACACTACTGTAACTCGTCAAAATTACGATATTAACAATTATAATATTATACAAAAGAGGATGTCGTGAAAATGTATATATTTGTCGAATTTGGTGGGAAGATTTTTCTGCAAGTAATTCGTATGCCTATGGCACTAATTGTGCTCATTTACGTGCTGGTTTATTTCCTTACTGAGGAGGCAAGGGCAGTAAACAACATAGCTCATTCCTTCAATTCAACTTTCCAGTACATAAATAGAGGATCTATGTATAGAGTGTATATGTAGGACTCGGAAAATATTAAATCTGGCAACTCTCTTTTATAAATTTCATATTACAAAAGCGCGAGTGAAAGGTTCTATTTATCACACAACTATCAATAAACGCATATCTTTCTTAAATTCCTTGCACTTTTTCCTCACTTTATTTGTTGAATTTAAAAATCATTTATACGTTTTTGCTTAAAAATATGTGCAAGATTGCCCCAAATCGATTCAATTTTCCCGGGAAAGCCATTGGAGTATTTTGTACCCCCACTATCGGAATGCTAGAGCCGCCAGTGGCATTTCACATGATTTTACTGTGTGGGTATTTTTTAATTACTTCACTTAATACAAAATCTTCACTGATGCATTGGAGACTATTGGTCAACCGTGATATGCTATAAAAGAACAACTGAGATGCAGAATAATTTATTGTAATATAGATAATGTTTATTTATGCTATACCATTATATTAAGATTGTAACTATCTCTACTTACCAACCTGAAATATTACAATCAAAGATAATATTTTAAACAGTTTAAGTTTAACAACAGAAACTTTTACCTCTAGGACATCAACAAAGTATAGAGACAAATACATCAAATTCGACCGCCTGTTATTTAACACAGAGGTTTTAATTGAGGCCAGAATATGCATACTTTGAAATACATATTCGTTTGATATTAACCAACTAACAAATCCCATGAATGTAACAGGATATTAATCAATGATATTTGCTCTTGTAAGTCTTTAAGAAAATAAATATTTTACCTTACATTCACCACAGACTCCTTGTGGACACAGAGCACAAACCGGAGCATTTTCACCTATAGATGACTTGTAGGAGACTGTAACACTATTCTCCGGATTATAATAATCTGTTATAGTAACAAAACCTGGTTTCACTTTTCCAACAACTTCACCTTTTACTAGTCTTAGTTTTAGACACATTGGTGTATTCCCAACCTACAAACAAATGAAATATCAATTTGATGATAATTATTGCAGTAGAACATTGTAGTTCTACAAAAGATGGATGATCGACAAATCGTAAACATTTTATAATACAATAAACCTGTAGCCTTCATCATTCCATATTTGATCAAAATGAATGCTATTTATACAGCTCTATGATTAGATAGTTCTAAATAATATTCAAGATAATCACCTCATCGAAATAGAGAGTGAATTTTTTCTGGTCTGATTCCACCCTCTTTATAAGTTAATTATTTTGAAGCTGAGAATCGTCTACTCGGAAACCACTGATTAAAATGGTTTCTAATATTGCCATCCCACTTGACTGGTTGAGAACCTTCCATCTGAAGAAAGAAAACAACCCTCACTGGTTAATATTTGGTTCTGTTATATCAATGTTAAATTTATAAAAGTGGTAGTATGCATGAATTTTTTAAAGCAACTCAACATTAAAAGAAAAATCTGGAGTCTGAAGGGTACTTTACAATGGATATACGACCTTACATTTCATATCTTTTTTATATTAGACAAATATTGTCGTCTTAATATTATATGAATAGTCCTAAGTGGCAGTACTCGAGAATCACTCGATTTGTTCTTTGTGTCCTCAAAAGATATCTTACTCAAAACAAACTTTGATCACGAGAACTTCCAAAGTTTCAGATTCTGTTACGATACTGAGTCCCCAAGTCGATTGGACTACCAGTTCTTCAATGTTATATTTGACAGTTATCTGGAAGACAATTTCGAAAAAATATTTAAAAACAGAAAAAATGAAATAAAAGACTATAATAAATGTTGTAGGCTTTGTTTTTGTATTTTGTGAACCGTTTTGCAGAATTTAGGAAACAAAATGAATAAAGTCTGAATTTGACCGAATTTTTCATACTGATATCGATGTTGCATTTGGCAATATTTGCCTTATCATAAATTCCAGATCAGAGGTAACATACCATGACGATTCCACTACCCGTACCTGAAGCCTCGATATCAATACTATCTGTGGTTTCACAGGTCTGAAACGACAATTAATAATGGAGTTATTTTTATATCAATTTAAAAGGATCCTGTATATTCCTTCTACGTATTTCTGAATATATGTATCAGTCAGAATTAATCAGTATATGTCAGAATTAAAAAAATATATCACTTCTTGAGAACCAAACAATTACTACCTTCAATCAAACAAGGGTTTGGAAAAAAGTAATAATTGAATTTAACGTCCCATTACTGGAATTCAACCAGAATGCACGGAGCAGTCTGTAAGGCGGTACTTTACACAATAATATTACAATATTACCCTGTTTTATTTAAGTGAAGGAACTTACCTTCCATTTGGATTCTTCACTGGAAGAAAGATTCCAGGTTTTATTTTGTCTGCATGCAAATACATTTAGAGTTATATCGTAACTTCCACCATGTAATAGACAAGCAAATTGTGACAAAGCTTGAAATGCTACCACTGTATCCTGAAACAAAAGTGTGTCATTCTCTTCATTTGCTTTGTTACTGAAAATTGTTGTTCGATGTCAAATGCTATTATCTATATATACTAGAGACACCCGTCTCTATTCCAGCCTCTGGTAGATATTTTGATAGCATCGGCTGGAGTAGAGTTAGAAAAACCAGGCTCTATTTCTGGGAAGTTTTCCACACTTCAGAGGATGCGTTTTTTTCGATAATTACCTGCGTAGAGGAGTAACCACCATTGCTGTTTTGTTGTGAAAGTAACCACTTCATTATAGGTATACCTTTTTCTTTTTCTCCCATTTTAGAGTAAGTAAGTAAAATATAAGCAGCAGTCTCAATATTAACCGGACTACTTTGTTTGTGTGGTGGATTCCAGTAATACTGAACTCTGTCAGCCTCAATAACAACTTCCCAATATACCATACCATCTACAAAATGATGACTTTAATAGTTATACAAAGAGAACACGCAATTATGAAAACCTTCACTGCTAGGGGGCAAACGAGTGTTGATCATGTGATAAAATTTTGATTGCTCGTCAGACAAGGGCAGACGAGCGAATTTGCCAACGAATAGATCCGCCGGCGTAAATAATCGGCCGAGGATATCGTGGTACGAAAGGATTTTTGGACCGATTTGAAAATGATCAACCCAGGAATACACTAAAACATTAAAATGGGCATTACCTTTAGTAATTTGTATAGATTCCAGCTTCTGTAAGATAGTTGATGACTTCGTACTTCCAGCTACATATAAAGCATAAGCCGTAATAGCGAGATTATATATGTTGGTCATTGTTTCAGATGCTGTTTCTAGTTGGTGGATGGACTTGTTCATACTGTTGAGATTATTTACAAACTGTTGAGCCTAAAAGTAAAAATCCCCTAGCAAAATCTAGTCATTGATAGTTAATGTAGGGATTGAAAAGATTGGTAGAGATAATGAAGATAATGAAATCACAACCGACAAGGATGTAGATTGTTTTCGTGCCCAGTGTGATAGATATATAGTTGAATGTAACTGCTTGTGGTAAGCGCATGACAATTAATCCCGATATGATTGAGGCTTAGAGTAATGGTGCTTTTTTACATGACCAACCACAGATCTATACAAAATTTATAGGTGCGCTTAATTTTTTTTCAAAATGTACCAGGTTAGAAAGGGCAAATACGGCTTTTGAAACAGACAGGCATGCTAAGTACAAAAAACTCATTATTAAATTTTCTATTTAGCTATGAATACATATAGAAAGTATGACGAATGGGGTGTGGTCTGGACACGATGATTTCTAGACCGAAACATCTGCCTCGATTCCAGCCTCTGGCTCTTTTGACAAATATCTAGCTGATGTAGAGAAATAAAAAATATACCATGTTAGATACTGAATTTTCCACACCTCCGCAGGTGATCTTAACCCAAGATATATTTGGAGAGATGACTATTTTTGTAGTTCAGTCATACTATCAATTTCTCCCTACACCAACAAAAGTTGGTAATGCCAAACACTAATTTACAGTCATAGTAAAGGTAATCAAATATCACTTGGAAAAAACGCATGGGATATGCCGATAACTGTACAAATATCCACCAGAGGCTGGAATAGAGGCAGATTTTTCGGACAGGATGGTGACCAACATAATGCAACAATATGATTTCGATGGGCTCTTCATCTGATTCATTAATTACTCAAATTCATTTTAGATTTTAGATCATGTAATCAGAATCAATGGCCAAGGATGCTGATAATTAAGATTGGCAGCTGGTGGATGAGATAATTAGGTGTGATCACCGTACGTCGGATTTTGTAGTAAAAATTCAAGCGACCATCACTTCAATTCATAAATATAGATTAAACTTACTTCAGAAAGAGCGATCAATGTAAATGCATTCAAACCATTTCCATCAAATGAACTGCCCTATAAATAAATTTAAAACGTTGAAATTTTATAAACAGCTACAAGGCTAATAAAAATTCAAATGCGTAATAAGTTGTACTGTACATTTATCACTTTATTATGTCCACAACTTTCCGTAAATGTGTATTTTCAAAAACATGCAAATCGCGACCAAAATTGCCCAGTCACAGTCATCTCTTGTCTTATTAATGTCTAATATGCAAAATTACAATTTTACACCAAGCAATGATTAAAGGTAAATACTGACTTACACTGCTTTGCTTTTATACTTCTGATATCAGTTCAAATTTTCTTTATATAATTTAAACATACCTTTAATGCTTTACTAAAAACACGGCCAGATTCATTAAAAGTACCGTCTTCATTCTGATTATTTATCAAGTAATTAACAGCATACTCTAATATTTTTTCATCAACATAGATGTATTGACGAGCTTCACTGAATGTTCTTACTACATAAGCTGTTAGCCTACAAATCAAAATACATATTGAGAGCAAATGAAGCTTAGTAAATCTTTCGAAATCAAGAATTGATAACTTCATAACGAAAGGGTACAAATCCAAATGACCCAAGCTATCAGTTCCATCAATAGATAACCACTTCTGAGTATTTCGGTGGTAATAAAGTCAAGTCAGTTTTGAAAAACGTCAATATAAGTATGACTAATGCAGTTTAATTACTATTTATTTCACCTCAAAATAATGTATTCTAGATAAGCACGATTTACACTCACCATTGACTACCAGAGCTATCTCTGTCACCAAACGCACTGAATGAATAATCATTTCGTTGATATCTCATTTCTCCACTGTAACCTTTAAAAGAGTTAATACAATAGAGTTGATACAGTAGAGATAATAAAATAGAGTCAATACAATAGACTTGATACAGTAAAGATAATTCAGTAGAGTTAACACAGTAGAGTTAAAATAATAGAGTTGATGAAGTAGAGTTAATACAGTAGAGTTAATGCAGTAAAAATGATAGAGTAGAAGTAATATAATAGAGTTTATAGAGTAGAGTTAATACAGTATAGTTAATACAGTAGAGTTTATACAGTACAGTTAAAAATGGGTTTCCTTATTTTTTAGTGTCAAATTAAGCAAACTATTTGATTGTTTCTAATGAATTATCATGCAGGTCCATTCTTAATCATCTCATTATGTTCTTATTGCATATTATTAAGAGTTTTAACAAATCATAAATGTATATGTGTCTGGATAAACAAAAAACAAATTATAATACATTTTGAGAGCAAATGAAAGCATCGTACAAATAAAAATATTGAGGCGTTCACCATCTAAATTCACGACTTGATAGATATCGTAACGAAAGTGACCAAATCAAAATGACATACTTAGTCTATGAGAAATTATTATAAAATTCAAAACCTTCAATTTATTGTTTCGCCAATAACCTCTAGTCTCAATTTTTATGTCAGAGTAAACGCGGCTATATGTCAACTGTCAGCTGTTAGAAATGATAACAATGTTTTAGTAACTACAATATAAATTCTCATCTTAAAGAACTTCCTTGTGTATTTGTCAAGAAATAGATAGTAACGTATATGGTCACTGAAAGCTTTGATTAAATTAGGCATATGAATAAACAACCACCAACAATTGCTACATTTCGAATATAAACTTGTCTTCTGAACAGACAATTTTTTTTTAATTAAAAGGTGTTATAATGAACAACAAAAATTCTGTGCATTCTGAATAGAAAGTAACTATTAAGTCCATGTCAGAAATATTCAAATCTATTGATGTCATGAATATTCTATCTAACTATACGGGAAATTGGCATCTTGGCACTTTTGTTTATTTGGAATGTCACCTGTAACATGTAACATTACAATGAGTATTTTTGAAATTTCAGCTTTCGCCTCCATACTTATCTTCTAAATTTTAAACGCGACTCAATCCAACATAATGGATATAAGCCATTGTTATTCCACTAAATCAACAACAACTTTGTCAAGAGTATCCCCTTGGTTTTTTGCAGCTGAGGGTCTGAGGGGAATTTGAGTCATCACCAACTCTGCGCTCTTAAATTTGCCAATTCTAACCTGCCTGGAAACAGGTAAGATTGGAGTCAAACTTTTAATCATATTTGATTTGCATAAATTCTTCAAATCATTCCTAGTTAGTTTACCAACAACCTCATATATATATTCTACCCATACAATGTTATCTACTCTGTGCGCTTATTTGGTGATTCAATGAACATTACAATACCATCATTGCCATACACTTCATACTTATTACAAGATTTAGGTGTTTATGTAATGGCATAGTTTTCCGTGGATCATCTGGAACATTGGGCAACAGAGCCTTTCCATATCTTCCATTCTTTGTTCTTTTGGGACATAATTGTCTTTCTTCAGCCTGTTTAACATTTCTACAAATGTTTCCTGTCTTTGTATCTATTCAGTTAATTCATACATTCGGAAATTATCTTTCTACTAATTATTGGACACAGGGCCACACAAAATATTCAAACTTTGACATATATAACAATAAAACACAGGTTTGGGTTGAAATAAACCAATGGCATGGACTCCTCCAATTAATCCTTTAATATCTTGTAAACTTCTATCAATCAAATTCATCATTCTATTTTCATCAATAGATATTTCATCAATAACTACCACTTTCAAAACGCCAAGCGGTATTTGAATGGTATAAAATCTACTGCATTCCAAACTTTTTTTTTCCAGATTTTGATCGTATTACCTTTTATTATTAAATGTGGCTTTACCCGTTGAAGTAAGCAGTAACTGCCTGATAGTCATCTTCAGCATTTTTCAGGTGTCTTAATGACACGTAATGTTTCATTTGCAAATGTCACTTGCTCCACATTTAAAGATCCTGTCATTTTCTGCAGTCTCTTACTTGAATATACCTTACCAAGATCAGGACCGAAATCATATTCAAATTTAACAGACTCACCCTATTCTTTCAAAACATCTGTATCAGTCTGTTCTTCTTGCTCATCTTCTCTGTCAGGCTCTTGGCCTAAAGGGACTTATTTGTCCCAAGCATCTATTATATCATGATCAAATGCCAAAGCTTCATCAACAGCAGATCTGTTGTTTTCAAACAGAACCTGCTGAGATGCTGCTCTATCTCTTACTTCTTCAAACCTTTCAGCATAAGAAATATAATTTCCTGTTAGGTCCATCGACCCATCTCTCCAGGCAATATAGAGCATTAGCGACTATAATATTTCTTTCGATCTTTATCAAAGTTAAATCCTATCACCTTGGGAACACGGCGTTTTACCGTTTTGTCTGTTTCATCCCTTTCATCGGAGTATGAGTCATGCTCTTCAGCATTCTCAATCAAAATTTCAAATTCAGCATTTTTAGAACGTTTAGCATACGGCTTACACTTATCAGATGATAACACAGTCTGTCTTTTGCTATAGGATAGCGAGCAATCATATTGCTTGACTGCACATCTCCATTGTCATCTTCTAACTCCTCTAACTGTTCCTTAGTTTTAAGGAATTTCACTCTATCATTAGTAGAGATGTATTTACAAATACAACTTTTCTGGATGATTTTCTCATAGATAATTGTAGTATAATGTAAACAGCTTCCTGAGCACTAATTTCAACATTATTCAAAACTTTATTTCCCATCACCTTCACTTGATCACAGATTCCACAATTTTTCTTCCGTTCTTCATAACAAGCCTTGCGTAAAATGTCAGTTATTCCTCTCTGTGATTTTACTATGTATGAAGCAATGTACATTGCACATGCATAAACATTTCACATTGCTTGCAAACAGTTCAACAATTTGACATTTTGAGCATTCACCCTTAGTTTCATCTCACTGTAAATTTCCTTACACTTTTAGTTTCATTCACAAAAGACTTTGTTTTTTTTTTTTCTTTAACAAGTTTGTGTCTTGGATATTTCATAAACTCTATCCACTTTTCAACAAAATTATAAATTTCTTCATCGCTACTTTCACCATACAAGAGAGCTTCTGTACATCATCAAAGGGTGAATACTGAATATGTGAAGAGCCTCTGTGTTGGAACTCAACTCAATTTTCCTTCTTCAAAACATCTTTAAAAAGCAATTTGACCTGGTAGTTAAATTACCTAGTACAAGTTGCAGGGTCAGAAGACACCAATCTACTTTTTCATACCAAGTCCATGTCACCAATCTCATCATCAGTATAATCTTTGGTATCTTGCTCTCTACCAAGAATTCGTAACATATGTCTTCTACGTGTTTCAGCAGCTGAGAAACTACAATAAAGTGTTGCAAGCCCAAGCTGCCTTCTTATCATAGCAAATAAATCGCTTTGCGCTTAGGGTTTTTTAAGACCATATTTGTATCATTCATCAAAATTTATCAAGTTTTAATAGTTGTTGAATTCTTTAAATCTTCTACTGTTATTTTCTGTCCATCAGTTTTGTATTTTCGACGGGCAATTTGAGCACTTCAAAGCAACTTCTTTAACTTAACAAAATATGTTGTCAATGCAATTAACTGTCCTCCTCTCAATTCAGCTTTACAAATTTGACTGTAATAAACCTCAGTAGGTCTATAAGAAATCGCAGTTCGAGCATTCCCAAAGAAAATATTGGAAATGCAAGTTCTTCAGAATGTATATCCATAAATCTGCTCATAGGAAAGTTTTTTTCTATTCCAGAGAAAACACTATGAACTTCCTCTTTTGCATTATTTTCGGCAAAATCAGGCGATGTAAGAAGTATGCCTGTAAATCATGCGACATCACCTTCCTCTTCATTCTAATTATCGTCATCAGATTGTGATATAGAATGTCCATCATTTCCATCAGTATTCTTGAGACGAGAGTCGACAACTTCAGAAATCTCTTCAAATTCAGAATCATTCAAGACTTCATTTCAATTTTCCTCAAAGCTAATACCTTCTTTTTCATACAATTTTCACTCGGTAGCTTCTCTGATCTTGTAAGGCTGATTGTTTTCAGTCATCACAGTATGATTGTTTTTCAGTTGCCTTTCAATTAACAGCAATTGTTATTATGTCATCTGTCGCTCTAGGCAACATCCTGACAGCTGTAGTGACATTAACAGGCACATTTACATCATTTCTACGAATTTTCTTCTATTTCCACCTGAACACACATACACATAGGCCAATTCACAATATTCTTGGGAAATTCAGAAATCAATTTATCAGCTGATGCATTGTATTTCTATTTTCTTCAGAATAAAATGGATCGCTTTTCACTTTTTCTTTCAGTTGGCCTGAATGCAGGATCAGTTCTTATAGCTCTTTTAACACGAATTTTTTTACTCTGTATATAATCAGGATTTTCATTTCTTTTTCTCCCCTTGTTAGTAGTTCCTTTCAAATTTTCACCTGCACTGAATTAAGGATCATCTCTTCTCAAAGTCGTGTATTCTTTCCAATACTTCTTTCGACTGTTTCCTTCACCAGATTTAAGCCTTTCAGTCGAATCACCTTTGTCTGCCTTTCTTCAAATTCAACATATTTTTTTCAAATGTTCAACGATTGTCTTTGAACTGTAAAATGAATTCATTTTGTCAGCCACATTTGAGAGGCTGATATTTCTACCATAAGAATTTCCATCATCTGCAACGGATATCTTTTTCACTACATCTGGAAAACTTTCTGTACCGAGATAAGAGTCATTATTCTCTCTCCGTGCAGAAATCACCCATATCTGCTTCTTTCTTCGGCTTAAATACTTTTCTTTTTCTTCCTTGGCATATATTAGATTAGATCTAAAATAGACAATTATTATAATGTTCTCATGAAAAGCCATTTTC